TGCAAACTTCACACAGAAATACCATCTGAGCCGAGCTTCGAACCAGCGACCTTCTTGCTGTGAGGCGACAGCACTACCCACTGCGCCACTGCCTCGCCCTATTTTATGTAAATTATTGTTTTATTTAACAAACCAGTTTGTGTTTTGGTGCAGAAGCATAGGGCTATAGCAGACCTTGTTTTGAAGCACTTCACCTAAAGTGCTTTTCGTTCTTCTTGTTTATTTTGTAGGAAACTGACCAACAAGAAATACATTAATATTAAGATATAAATTATACCTGATGAAATTTGTTCCAAAAATATACATTTTCAGAGAAATATTGCCTGTTTGAAGTGTTTTTTTTTTCGCTACACAATTGTGCTGTAAAGATTTATTTAGTTCCGTGGAAAATAAGGATTTAATTATTGCTTCACTGTAATTGTTTTATCACAAACCTCTGTCATATATTTGCTACAGTTTCAACATAAGTCATTATTTTAAAGACTATAATGGCTTAGACTTGAGCATCTGATGTTTCCTCAGTGCTGATGTGCTTTCCTCACTCGCAGCGAGTTCAGGTGAGGGAGTGTTTAATAAGTAAAAGTAGCCACAGTTTAGTTAAACCTGCATCAAAGTGGCTGAAAAAAATACAGCCAGTGGTTGTTTTTCCGGCAAGTAGTGGTATTACAGATTTCAAAGAAAAAATCTTAATGTTAAAAAGGAAACATACACTTGGCAACAGATCCGATCGGTGTCCTAACCAATGTCATTATATAATGTAGCCTAGATGGCACAAGCATTAGTTTTTAGTGGTGTTTTATAAACAAATTTTGGGAGAAGCATGATCAGTTTTGACGAGGCTAATTCATTATTTACAATCATTATATTGTCCAGTTAGCTTAAGACCAAACCCCAATAAATAGTCTCTGTTTTCTCTCCACTTCAGCATTGGCACATCCAATTGCTGTAACTATGTCCAAATAAGAAAATTCCCTGAGGATGACATGGCTCAGAGTTCCTGCAGGTCAGAGCTAATGACTGTAAATTAAAAAAAGTTGTTCATCTCAATGAGAGCAATATATATGCTGAGTTTTGTGACTATGGTTAAAACTTACCCCCACGTTGTTGACAAAATGTTTTGCTAGCGAGCATCCTGACCACACCCATGTTTGAACTTTTGCCAGTGTGTAACGGACCACAACTCTGTGTGTCAAATGTCAAAACATTCTAAGAGTTTTAAGAGCCTCGAAAGCACATGTGAAAAGTTTCAAAGATTCATCTGTTGTCATGGCAACAGTATTTAAAATATGAGAAAACCTTTCAGTTTCACATCATGCAGTTACACAAATTCAATGGAAGAAAAATGATGATTCCAGTGCATTTCCAGAGTGACACACTTGCTACTGTCAGTTGGTGGTGCTTTAACTGAGACTCACAATGGTCACATCAATGGGATCAGAATACTTCAACAAACACAATCCGGAATCTTGATCAGAATCAGTGACAAAAACAGTGATACACTGATTATTATGCACTTCCTTTACGTTGTACATTTCCTATTTATTATCCATTTTTATCACTTTTACATAGCTGGACCATTTGAGATTTGAAAAATCTGGTTTTAATTTAGCGTCTTCAATATGTTGACTTCAAGCTGAGGGATTTTGGTGATTGTCAGGTGGGTATGAAAGTTTTTTGGGCTGATGAGATCTACGTATGTGTGAATTTTGGTAACACTGGGTTAAACTGAGCAGATGTGAGAGTGGAGAGTGTGAGACTAATTCCTTAAAAAAAAAAAAACCTGTGACAGACGAGTGTCTGCATTGATTCCTCGGGCTAGCCTGAACACCTGCTAGTGACCTACTCAGACCTGCAGCTTCTCCATTACGGATATCCATTGTTCTCAAGCCTAAGGCATCTAGACTGCAGCTCTGCACTAAACATTTGGCCAGAGAAGAACTGGTTGTGCCCAGTTGAGTCTGGTTTTTGGTTGATTGGTGAAGTTTCGTGCCGCTTTATGCAGTGGTTTGCTTGGTTTGGGACTTGTTGAGCTGCACACTGTTGGATTTGCTCTTTAGTGTTTTGGCTTTCAGCAGTGACGTGTACATTACACTGAACTAAACTAAACTCAACTTAAAGCTGGACTGAGGTTACAATTTACCAGAACTAGAACATCTATGTTAAGCTGCTTTGACACACCTCTTCTTTTGTAAAAGCGCTATAGAAATAAAGATTAACTTAATTGCCTTGAAACTGTGTGTTACTTCAATTTAAAAAAAAGATACTCTGTCACTGGACAGAGAGCAAATCTTTATTCACAGAAGTGAAATGAAAATCTGTATTTATAACATAAAGTTATGACAGATAGGTGTGCGCTTTGTCTAAGACACGAATTCCACTCTTGTACTCCACTGGAAAACCAAAATGTTCCCACACAGGCGACTTAAATGTGTCAGGGGGATCTGCAATCTTAATACTTTGTGAAGCAGCCTTCATACAGTAACTGAGTGATCGCTCACTCAAGTCACATGATATGCACTTGGGAAATACTAACTTTAGAATATACTATTTAGAACAAAATCTCATCATTACTAATACAATTTAATCAAATGTGATAAAATAAAGATGTTTAAATTGGTTCAATTAGTTATAGGCAAGTTACGTCAACCTTAACAATGGGCAGCAGGGGGCGTGAGAGTACGCCATGAGAGTTTCGCGATACGTATCGTGGTTGGTGTATCACGATATTTCGGTTCGGTTTGTAATATCGTTACACCCCTACATACGAGTTGAGCTTGATGAAGGATACAGAATTATCCACATAAACCAATTAGAGAGAGAATGTGCGTGCGCTAAATATATGTTTTAAAACACAATCACAGAGTTCATTCATTTTCTTGTCGGCTTAGTCCCTTTATTAATCTGGGGTCGCCACAGCGGAATGAACCACCAACTTATCCAGCAAGTGTTTACGCAGCGGATGCCCTTCCAGCCGCAACCCATCTCTGGGAAACATCCACACACACATTCACACACACACTCATACACTACGGACAATTTAGCCTACCCAATTCACCTGTACCGCATGTCTTTGGACTGTGGGGGAAACCGGAGCACCCGGAGGAAACCCACGCGAAGGCAGGGAGAACATGCAAACTCCACACAGAAATGCCAACTGAGCCGAGGCTCAATAATAGTAACGAGGGCGCCTCCTATAACCACAGCATAACGTATTGTATGCGTTAAAAAATTAAAATGAGCGTAAACAGTTACAAATGTGACATCTCTCCAGGTGAGTCTGTCAAAACAGTTAAGAAGCGCAAGGACTTTAGCGGTTGACCATCTCCTCAGCCATATTAATTAAGGGATTCTCCTCTGCCATACTGTATTAGTGACAGCAATTAAACTTCATTCAATTCTTAGAAAGTGCAAGTTCATCTTTTCTGACGTCAAATGCAGTCTTATATGTAAAAATGCTTTCTCGGTCAGTATTCACATGAACTCTATATAAAGGTTGATTTGTGCATGATTTCTTAAAGGGACGTGCTGTTATTAATAAAAAAATAATTAATTTATTCCAATTTGAGATAAAGGCATGACTTAACAAAACATGACAAAAGTGAAGTGCTGTGAACTGTTTTCAGATGATGTGGATTTCCTCAGAAACCAATTTATTTTGATGTCAAACTATTCATTGCTAAAATAAAACTGAAACTTAAAGAGTTTTAAAATTCTGCGTTTACAATTGTTTATGGCCCACATTCTGAAAGCTGGGGTTATTTCAGCCCAAATTTGTGTCAGATGTAGAAGATCCCAACCACTGGGTTAATTTTTAAATAAAATGTAGGTAAAAAAAAAAAGTTGGTCCATAATTTTTTTTACCTAAATTTAGGATGAGTTATTTTTTAGTGTAAAGAATCATGACTGTTGCCCTCTGCTTGTTTTTTATTATTCATTACTGTTTTATGAGCATGAATTTGTAGGAGCTATGTGGATGATGTTATTTACCCTGAAAGACAAAAACTGTGTCATATTAAAAGTGTAAAAAGGTTTATTTTATCAACACCTAATACATTATGATGTGTGTTTTAGAAACTACAGACATAAAATGTTATTTTGTGGTGGTATACTGTACCTAACAGATTCTAGAGCTCTAAATGAAAATATTTTGTTGCGAAATATATAGTTGAAGTCAGAATTTTTAGCCCCCCTTTGAGTTTTTTTTTTTTTTTCTTTTTTTTTTTTTCCTAAATTATGTTTAACAGAGCAAGGACATTTTCACAGTATGTCTGATAATATTTTTTTTCTGGAAAAAGTCTTTTTTTTTTTTTTCTTGAATAAAAGTAGTTTTAAGGTAAATATTATTAGCCCCTTTAAGCTATATATTTTTTCGATAGTCTACAGAACAAACCATCATTATACAATAACTTGCCTATTTACCCTAACCTGCCTAGTTAACCTAACTAACCTAGTTAAGCCTTTAAATCTCACTTTAAACTGTATAGAAGTGTCTTGAATCAAGTTTATTTTATCTAGTAAAATATTATTTACTGTCATCACGGCAATGATAAAATAAATCAGTTATTAGTTTTTAGTTTTTAAAACAATTATATTTAGAAATGTGTTGACAAAAAAAATCTCTGTTAAACAGAAATTGGAGGAAAAAAATAAACGGGCTAAAATTTAGGGGGATAATAATTCTGACTTCAACTGTATGTCAGTTTAGAAGCAGTGCTTAGGTGATCTGTGCTGGAGCGCCACCTGGTGGCCAAAACTTACACTACATAATAAAATAAACTTTAGGAAGAGTAAATAAAAAATCATTTAATGTCACAGTTGAATTGGTTAACAGTGTAGAATATATTAAAATTCCCTCTTACACTTACCCACTCATCTACACACACTTAAGTCTGTTTAAATTCATTAAATCCAGAGCTGCACATGCATTTTATTGGTGAAATCATGTGAAATGACATAAATCAAATTTTATGAGTTACACCTCCCTCTTATCTGTTTTTCAGCTTTCTGGAAAGAATCGAGTCTGTTCGACAGAATGACTACACTCCTACAGACCAGGTGAGGGCATTATCACACTACTGTTAAATCAGGGATGTCCAAACTCTGTCCTGAAGGGCTGTTGCTAGATTAGATATTGATGCGTCCGGATGTTAACAAGATTTATTTACATTATTTATAAAATTTCCTATTTTTTGTATTTTATTAACGTCTACCCCCACCCCAAGCCTAAACCTAACCGTCACAGTAACCTAAAAAGTGTAGTTGTACCAAGTATTATTTATGCCATCTATTAAATTACCCAATAAATTCCCTGCTGAAAAATCCAGCTTAAACCAGCCTTGGATGGTTGGCTGGTTTTTGGCTGGTCGACCTGCCTGGTTTTAGAGGGGTTTTGGCCACTTCCAGGCTGGTTTTCAGCCATTTCCAGCCTGGTCTTTGCTGGTCAGACTGGAAAGTGACCAGCTAAAACCATCTAAAACCAGCTTGACCATCCTGGTTTAAGCTGGACATAGCTGATTTTGGCTGGGCTCCCAGTCGGGTCAAGCTGGTTTTAGCTGCTTGTCTCCCAGCCTGTCCAGCTGAAACCAGGTTGGAAATGGCTGGAAACCAGCCTGGAAGGGGCCAAAACCCCTCTAAAACCAGGCTGGTCGACCAGCTAAAATCAGCCAACCATCCTAGGCTGGTTTAAGCTGGATTTTTCACCAGGGTGGTTTTTTTAACGCCCACCCCAACCCTAAACCCAACCGTCACAGTAATGTAAAAATATTATTCATTGTTAAACAGTGTCATAAAAAATGCTGCTATAATAATGTGCATATCGCACCTCCGGCCAGCCGACTTTACCGTCCTGATGGGCTAGTGTCCTGCTGAGTTTAGCTTTGAACTGCTGAGTCACACTGGACTTTTCTCCCCATAGACTTCCATTCATATGTAAGCAAATGCGTCAGACTGGAAACGCAGTGTCATGCGTTAAGTTTCGCAGTTCGCTGTAGTGCAAAGTTCAAGCTTGGTGAACTCTGACCTCCAAAATCGCATCACTTCTGTGCGTGAGACCAATCGAGGATCAAAACATCTCTTCTCTGGACAGAAATTCAAAACATGGACCAATCGCTCGCTTTTTTTTTTATGTCTAATAATCTTGTTTAATCCCGCCACTTTTCACATCGCTATACGACTGAATTTTGTATGCACATACACTAGTGTGACAGCTTAAGAGCTTGATTAGTTATCCCAGGTGTGTCTGATTGGGGTTGGAACTAAACTTTGCAGGACACCGGCTCACCAGGACTGATTTTGGGCATCACTGTGCTAAATTCTTATTAGCATTTAAATTTCAATCAACTGAGATTCTGTGCCTTTCTTTCAGGATTTACTGAGATGTCGTGTATTAACTTCAGGGATTTTTGAAACTCGATTTCAAGTGGACAAAGTAAATTTTCAGTAAGTCATTGAAGTTACATCATATATTTTACAACCTCAAATCAGAAAAAGTTGTGACAGTATGGAAAACGCAAATAGAAAAGAATGTAGTGATTTCCCAATTTACTTTGACTTGTAATTCATTGCTGACAATATGAACACAAAATATGTCATGTTTTGTCTGCTCAACTTCATTTCATTTGTAAATATACATCATTTCCTGTCAATCAGATCCGCAACACATTCCAAATAAAGGGACAGGAGCAATTTAGGGCTAGTATTCAGGTGAATTGGTTAAATAATGATGTGATTTGAAACAGGTGATGTCAACAGGTAATTGTAATTATGAGTTGGCACAACAGCAGCATCCAAGAAAGGTCTAGTCCAGGGGTCAGCAACCCGAGGCTGTAGAGCCGCATGCGGCTCTTTAGTGCTGCCCTTGTGGCTCCCTGGAGCTTTTTCAAAAATGTTCATAAAGATGGGTTAATATAATTTTTTTATATTATATGTTTTAATATGATTTCTATTGGAGGACAAACATTTTTAACGTTTTCAAATGCTGTAAAAGTGTGTAGAATTAATATTTAATTTCAACATTTCTGTCAACGAAGATTTGCGTCATAGCCTGCGACACAGGTTTCTATCAGCAGGGCGGGATGCCAGGCAGGTGGCTGTTGTAAACAAACCGGGAGATGATAAAGCATGGAAAACCGTTCACAGATGGTGACTACATGAAGGAGTCATTCATCAACATACTAGAACACCTATTTGCAGACTTCAAAACCAAGAAAATACAAAAAATTAAAGATATACTGTACCTCTCTCTGCTAAGACATTGAAGGAAAGGGCTATTAAAATGGCAGTTAACATCACCGATCAGCAAACCAAGGACATTAATTCAGTGCCAGCATACTCAATTGCCTGTAATGTGACCGATATTCAATGCGCTTTTATGCAGGTATGTGAACTCTGATGGGCCGCAAGAAGAAATGATCAAATTAATACACTGAAAGACCAGAGGCTGTGCTGAAGTGTTTAAATGACAACTAAATAAACACTAACCACCTGATTTCAGTGGCTATTTAATCATGAAGGCTCATTATGTATTTATAGCCAACTTAGTCGTTTTTATTGTAGGCTAATATAGCTACTATAGATACATACAGCATGCGTTTCCTTCATTATAAGGCTTATATAAGGCTTTACATTTTTTTGCGGCTCCAGACCTATTTGTTTTTTGTTTTTTTTGGTCCAATATGGCTCTTTCAACATTTTGTGTTGCCGACCCCTGGTCTAGTCCTTTGGGAGCAAAGATGGGCAGAGGATCGCTAGTTTGCCAACAAATACATGAGAAAATTATTGAAATGTTTTTTTAAAAAAAAACAATGTTCCTCAAAGACAGATAGAATTACAGTATATTAAGATATTTTCCCTTTAACAGTGCATAAATAGGAAGAGGAAAAAAAAGGAGGAAAATAAAACTTTTGACAACACTAATTTAGATGACAAACATTGCTTGGTTTATTTTTTTTCTTATTTACTTCAAATCATCAATTATGTCTTAATCATTCATTCATTCATTCATTCATTTTTGGCTTAGTTCCTTCATTAATCAGTAGTCACCACAGCGGAATAAACCACCAACTTATCCAGCATATGTTTTACACAGCGGATGCCCTTCTAGCCACAACCCAACACTGAGAAACACCCACACACTCTTGCACACACTCTCATACCACCAATTTAGGTTACCCAGTTCACCTGTAGCGCATGTCTTTGGACTCTGGGGGAAACCAAAGCACCTGGAGGAAACCTATTCAAACATGGGAGAACATGCAAACTCCAGACAGAAATGCCAACTGACCTAGCCGGGGCTCGAACCAGCGACTTTCTTGCTGTGAGACGATTGTGCCACCCACTGCGCCACCGTGCTGCTGTCTTAATTTTTATTTATGCTTAAATTAAATATTTATTTATTAATTTATTTCTGTCTTTCAGTATGTTTGATGTGGGCGGTCAGAGAGATGAGAGGAGAAAATGGATTCAGTGCTTTAATGGTGAGCTTCAAAAGTGTGTATGTGTTTAAGCGATTTACATGGACACGTTTGTGTAACAACCTCTAGGTATTACAATTTTGAGTTTGTTTATGAGAACATGCATTGTGTCTTTGTAATTTAAAACAATTCAAAATCAGAATTAACTGGGTTTTTTACATTCAAAACTTTGGGATAATTGTATAATGGCCTTTTAATTCTTCAATCAAAATCTGAAGTCACCATTTGTTTGGCCTCATGTCATTCCATTTAAATAAGGCTTTGGATAAAATTCAAAGCACAAATTAAGTTGTGGAATGAACCCTAAGAGGTTTTTGTAACTCAGTTGAAAGTCCAGGTAACCCAAACCTTGGAGATTAAAAATGTCTTGACAAGATAAATTATTCCTTTATGTAACAACACAATTCATTTAGGCTTTTATTTGCCACCAAATGATAACTAACACATATTTGTGCATGCAGCCCAAATTAAATCTGTTATCTGAATTAAACGTCTCGATAAGTTCTTCCCAAGTTCAATTGAAAAAAATTTGTTTGTTTTTTGTAAATTTTTAAAATAAAATTCAAGTCTTTAAGAGGACATTTTTTTTTAGCAGAAAGGCCCCTTTAGTTCAGGTCTGTTCCTGGAGGCCAGAGGCTTTGCAGAGTTTAGCTTTAACTCTTCTTCAATACACTTATCTGACTCAGGAACTCCAGGAACTGAGTTTGACACCCCTGCTTTAGGTGTTTTATATATAGTTGAATTATTAGTCCCCTTGGATTATTAACCCCCCTCGTTTAATCTTTTTCGCCAATTTCTGTTTAACAGAGCGAAGATTTGTTCAACACATAGTTTTAATTACTCATTTCTAATAACTGATTTATTTTATCTTTGCCATGATGACTGTAAATAATATATGACTAGATATTTTTCATGACACTTCTATACAGCTAAAAGTGACATTTGAAGGCTTAACTAGGTTAATTAAGTTAACCAGGCAGATTAGGGTAATTCAGGGAAAGTTATTGTATAATGATGATTTTTCTGTCGACAATCTGGAAAAAAATAACTTAAAAGGGCTAATAATTTTGACCTTAAAATGGCTTTTAAAAAAATTAAAACTGCTTTTATTCTAGCCAAAATAAAACAATTAAAACTTTCTCCAGAAGACAAAATATTATCAGACATGCTGTGAAAATATCCCTTGCTCTGTTAAACATCATTTAGGAAATATATATTTAAAAAAAAAAAATTCAAAGAGGGCTAATAATTCTGACTTCAACTGTATGAATGTATGTACTGTACTGTATTCATGTATTTATTTTCTGTTTGATCACAGATGTGACTGCCATCATCTTCGTAGCAGCCAGTAGCAGTTATAACATGGTCATAAGGGAAGACAACAGCACCAACCGGCTGCGCGAGTCTCTTGATCTCTTCCGCAGCATCTGGACTAACAGGTTTCACGATTCTTTCTTCATCGCAAATTCAGACATTAAGCCAGAACACTCATCTTCGTTTGTAATGCTTACAAGTTGTTATTAGAGGTTAAAGGGATAGCTTTTTAGGGTAAAGGGAGTCATTTTTTCTTTTGAACAGAACGATGATTTAAAAAGTGATGTAAAGAATGTTGGTAACCATTAATCATATACTTCCACACAAATCTTATATGGAAGTCAATCCCTTTGTTAATTGTGACGTCACACGAAGCAGCTTCTGGGTTCAAGCGCACTATCAATCTGTATGGGGAGACTCATCGAATGGTAATAATGAATGTTTACAAAGCGATGTAATACTTTTATATCACAACCCTTATATATATATATATATATATATATATATATTAGGGTCGTGATATATAAATAAATAAATATATATATATATATATATATATATATATATATATATATATATATATATATGTATATATATATATATATATATGTATATATTATTATATAGGCCGTTATATGCCTAATATCCTATGGCCAGAAAGTGATTCATTTTTTATAAATTGTGTATGCTGCAAGTCCAGAAACTGTTGTGTACACCATGATTTTATATAAAATTAACTTTAACATGTGATAGGACTAGAAAGTTGCCATAAACTGATATTTTCTCAAATCAAATAAGTGGCTTGGACCCGGAAACAGTATTCCATACATCACCGATAGGTCACGACTTACAGTAACAAGCGGATTGGTTATGTTACTATCAGTAACTCTTTTAAGGGATTAGTAGATAAAACCAAAGAAGAAGAAAAATAGCACACCTCTGTGTGTTCAGAGAACAATGCAGTTTTATGTGTTTTGTATTTATAACTTGTAAATGATTTAGCAAGCAATGTATATATATATATATATATATATATATATATATATATATATATATATATGTGTGTGTGTGTGTGTGTGTGTGTGTATATATATATATATATATATATATATATATATATATATATATATATATATATATATATATATATATATATATATATATATAAAGACAATGCTCAAAACATCTCACTTTGTGTTTTCAAACAGGTTTTTAAGGACCATTTCAGTAATCTTGTTCCTCAACAAGCAGGACATGCTCGCCGAAAAGATCCTGGCAGGAAAATCTAAACTTGAAGATTATTTTCCAGAGTACGCTCGCTACACACTTCCCCCTGAAGGTAATGTATTGTGTATGATCATAATATTTTAAAAAATATCTTTCTTATATGCACTTTTCTCCATTTCAAAATTCGGATTCTGATTATTGTGAGGAATTACTATTGAAGTTTATCTAGTTAACCTAATTAACCTAGTTAAGCATTTAAAATGCACTTTAAGCTGAATACTAGTATCTTGAAAAGTATCAAACCCTGAGTGCAAACCAATGATGTGCAGCTTCACAAGTTCAAAGTCCCACAAGTCTGGCAACTAGAAACAGGTATTCCAACCCAGAGTGAACACTTTTTTGATCCACATTTTCTATGAATTTTTGAGTTTTAATTGAAGTATGAAAATGCTTTTATATGCTTATCTCTTACTTCATAAATGCTCTTAGAATTAGAATGCCCTTATTGACCATAAATGCTCCTAGAGTCAGAATTATAGCTGAAGATATTTACCCAAACCTGATGGGACCCTAGAAAGTAATCAAATAGTTTGTTATAACATTAAAATTCATCCCTGCAAGAGTGAAACAAATAACGACAGAGAAGTCAAATGGAGCTTATTTTGACTGCGGTGAGGCCGGCCGCCAGTTCAAGAAGAGCAGTCTTTCTAGCCGACAAGGTATTTCAGTGGCCGCTCATACACTGCGTATTACAGTAGAGTGCTAAACAGCAATGTACAGCAAGCTGACAGGGAAGAAGACGAGGTCACTCGCTACATTAAAACCGCTGTCAAGGAAAAAGAAATGGATGTTTTTGGCTGGTGGAAGATTAACAAACAATCTTACCCAAAACTTGCTAATTAGTCAGAACAGTATGCATCCCGGCCAGTAGCAGCAGCAGTGAAAGGGTTCAGAACTGTGCTAAAGCCATTTACAGTGAATTCAATAATGTTCCTCCACAAAAACACGCAACCTAATCTTGGTAAGTAAAGGGTTTTCAAATATAACTAAATATTGATTAAACCATAGAGTTATAATGTAGACAGGCTAATGTTGGCATTATTATTTTAAAATTCAGCTTCACCATTGCCTTAATGTCAGATTGTGAAGAGTAGTGGCGAAACAAATCCCACAGAGCCTTTATCTGAATTTTTCATCTTGCCAAATACCCGTCATAATTTAGTAAATTAAAGTTTTAAATTGTATATGGAAAGCATCGCCAATGCACCATGATATCGAATTGAACCGAATGGATGGCTTGATAATTGTAATCAAACTGTGAGAACAGTGTAGGTTCACACTTTTAAAAAATACTGTATTTAATAGATTCCAGAAGATTAGTACAGATTTTTATAAAGAAAACATTGGCAAAGTTTTAAGGGCAAGCTGGTTGATATGACCGTGGTAAAGTAAATCTAAACATAGTAAATCTTCCCCCTCAATTCAATTCTTTAGGACAGAAAAATAGCTATTAAATTGGCCTATTATTTGTAGTTCTTCCATAGCAATTTAATCTACCCCTTCAATATGTACTAGAAACAAAATCTAGACATTTCAACCCTTATACTCTGTGGAATAATGACTGAGTGTGTGTCTAATGAACAATCAAACACACAAAAGCCAAAGATTTATTATTTCAGCAGCTGTGTGAGGCGATTGAACATGCTGATTTGCATAACCACTGCTGACAGGTAATGGCTGAAATTGGACTGTTGTCCTAAGATGCATTAATTACATCAGGTTTGCACTTTCTTCTTGAGCTTCCCATAAGATGTCAGTCACTGCTTTAAATTTCTGGGCAGTTTAGCAGGGACGTATATGGTTATATGGCAATGTGGTGTAACCAATCTTGAACAAAAGTTCAACAATTGCTGAACTTTTTTTTTTTTTTGATAGTTTTTAATTACATTTTAACTTTATATAAGGGGCAATGTTAACCTGCACAAGGAAGCCAGAATATTGAGGTATTCTTGTTTTAGTTCAATTTAATTATAAAGTAAAACTGAATTAATAACTTCTTAGGGTCTCAAGAGTTTCAACCTTTGTTTGTATTCCTAAAAAATCTCTTAATGATGTTATTTGAGACCAGTATGTCAGGTATTTTTTGTCATACAAGTCATATAATCTTTTATTAAAGTTATAAATTTAGACTAAACTATTTTATCAGAAATGCAAACAAAGTAGAGTTCTGTTCCGTTGTGTGTGTTTCTAAGCATAGCTTACATCAGGCTATAGATTTGACTGGATTGTGTTTCTATAAATGAAAGAAAAAGTAAAAGACAATACATGAAAATGAATGACTTGACAATAAGTATTCCTTGACAGTTATTGTGGATATTGTTATTTTATTATTTATTAGAGTCAAACTCACCAATCCCTTAATATGACTGTGATTGCTTTAATGGCTTTGCAAAATGTAACACACCATTGTCTTTTCTCTGTATGCATAGCGACCCCTGACCCAGGAGAAGATCCGAAAGTGTCCAGGGCAAAGTTTTTTATCCGAGATGAATTCTTGGTATGATATTTTCTTATTTTCTAAATCAGGGGTCATCAATCTCGAACCTGGAGGGCCGGTGTCCCTGCAGGGTTTAGCTCCAACTTACCTCAACACACCTGCCTGGAAGTTTCAAGTATACCTAGTAAGACCCTGATTAGCTTTTTCAGGTGTGTTTCATTAGGGTTGGACATAAAATCTGCTGTACACCGGCCCTCCAGGAACAAGTTTGGTGACCCCTGTTCTAAATGTTTAGACACCATAGCCCCTTTCACACAGAAGTTCCAGAAAATACATAGATAATGTGTTTTGCCTTGGGATCATTTGATTTTGTTCATTCACACTAGCTTTGTTTTCTTCCACCTATTTTTATGTGCATTTTAGACATGCGCTTAAAAAATCGGTCGATGGAAATGCCAAGATATGCATAAATTTTGAAAATGCACATTAGAAATGGATGCGCCTGACTGAGTAGGATAAACTTTTCATTCGATAAGATGCACATAAACTACAATGGAAACAAATTTCTGTATGCGTATAAATATATCATGTGATCTCCCTTATAAAATGCCTCCACAAATACCTACATCTTCACTACAATACATCACCTACAGCGTTGGTTCTGCCATTTTTTCACACATCGATTAATCCAGGAATTATCTCAGCAATATTACTTGGACCCCCACCTGGATTCATTGCCAGGATAAATCTTGGGACATCTTTGCATTAGAGCTGCACGATTAATCGAAAAAAGATTGCAATCTCGATGCGACCCCCTAGGTCAGGGGTAGGGAACCTATGGCTCTCGAGCCACATGTGGCTCTTTGACCAAAAATACGTGGCTTTCCAGCTGTCTTCCTTCCATAATATTCAACCGTTTAAAAATATATATTCATCTCTGGAAATCAGGCTCCTATCGAAACAAAATGAATAAGAACTCAGTTAACAATGATTTCGAGCAATGTGAGTTTGTGGCAATGTGGATAAACTTGAATTGAGACACAAATAAAGGGTAAACAACTAATATTTCTATGAAAACTTAAATTCAAACATGGTGAAAGTAAAAATACTCTAAACTGTTCTTTTTCATTCACGGACTTAAGATGTGATGCTACATATTTGTTCATTTTTGAGTTGTGCAGAAATTAAGGTTTTAGTTAAACCTGTATTATTTATATATAATATAGTATTAGCAGTAATGCTATAATATTTGTTTAATTTATAGTAATACAGTAGCAAATGCATTTATAAAAATAAACATATACATTTAAATGGCTCTTCAAAAAATTGCATTTACTAAAAAAATCAGAAATGGCTCTTTGCTGAAAAAAGGTTCCCGAACCCTGCCCTAGGTCATCTTAATCCAGCATTTCTGCGATTCTGCCAATCCTATTTTTAAGTTCAGGAGAGAAGCAAAGGAGGCTGTACATTGTTTCACATACGTTGCTCAGTGACATGGACACCACCAAATGATGTTGAAACAGTACACACACTGTACTTATAAGATATAATTCACCCAAAAATGACATTTTTGTCTTCATGTAATGATGTCACAGATACTTACAGTAGATGTCGCCTACCCTGTTGTTTTCCATTCAAAGTCTTATCAAAGTTTAGCATTTAACCAACAGTAGACCTATATATAATATTGTTGTTTCATCATGTTTGAGAATAACAATAATAATAGCCGTCTTACATTAAAGGTGCAGTAGGTGATCTGCCAAAAGGCTAACCGCTTAGCATATTATCTTTGGACGGCGATAGGGGCTGTGATTCAAAGCCACACCCCCTAAAATTGCGAGCGCACGCACCGCGTCACAACAGCCGACAGACAACCCACTAGTTCATGTCAATCGCCAGTTAGTTAGTGTTTAGCCAGCGGCGTGCAGAAATTACATTTATTACTTAGTCACATGCTATTTTAGAGCGAATATTCAGAGTAGCATGGTAAACAGTATAGAAAGGCTGTCATTGTTCAAAAATGACCCAATGTGAATATAAAAGCAACTTCAGCTCAATAAAGCAGGCTAGGTGGAACAGCGCTATTTACTGATGTTTTGTTGTTACACTAAATATAAATCTACATTATCAATGCTGTAAAAGGACTTTATAAAACTGAAAATAATCACGTCAATCATTCACCGGGAGATTTCAGTAGCTGAACAACACGTCTGTGCATACAAGTCATTCATAACACAACACAATCTAACATAAGCTTAGCCTAACTAAAATAGTTTTAAAACAGAACATTACCTGTCTAACAGTAATACTTCAGCCATGGTGTCGTCCTTCCTCCAGCGTGCTAAAGTAACTCCAATATTGATTCAGGTTTTAGCAGCATTTGAGTTCTCCCGGTCTGTCTCGTGACCGTGCTGCGCTTCGGCGCAGACATTGTACGCGCAAATGGCGGATCTGCGTGAACCGATGCGCAGAAGTCCGAATCTACATTTGCTGACAGACAGTCTGAGCTGCTTATCGGAATTATGGGAGATGTCGGTCTGATAATATTTAATTGGATGAACATTTTTTAGTTTTATGCTTTACCCAGAATATAAAAATACATATAAACACATTTAAATCATTTACTGTAATTAGTACTATTGGACTGTGAAGAGACTTTCAACCAGCACAATAAAAAATGCTTCTGAAGACAATCACCTGCTGCACCTTTAACCTTTATTTGACATCTACAGAATCGTGAGAAAATCATGATCTTTTTTTTTTTAAGCAGAAAATTGCGGTTCCTATTATAGCCAGACTCAAGCAGCTCTACTTTGCGTTCACACAAAAGGCACTTCCACAGTTCTCAGACAGTTTTCTGGAATCCACATGTAGTGTGACAGGGGCTTATTAATTCACATTTCTAATAAACCATCTGTTTATGTCTGCCTTGTATAATTAGGCCCAATCCCAATTCTATTTTTGTACCCCTACCCCTTCAAAATGTACTCCTAAGATTTGGGACAGCACTACAGCACCTGCACACGTCCTCGTATGTCCTCGCAATCTCTTGCTTCATATGAGTTCAGATGATGGAGACTACTAAAGTGATTCCAGTTGTGTTATTTTTTGGTATTTATCTTCAGGAAATCACTGAAGCCACGTGTTATGTTATCAAAACGATCTAATGTGGCAATATGATCTTAACTGTACTGTGTATTTACACAGTGGCCATATTCATTAATGTAAACACACCAAAAACAGCATTAACATTATAGCAGACACTGTAAAAAGCCAATTGACAGCCAGTAGACTTTTCTGACATGGTATTCCAGTGTCACCGAGTGTCAGAATGTTGTGGGACTACTGTACAAAAGTTATTATTAGGGATTATAGATGGGGAATAGATTGCGAAATTTAGCGGTTTTTATTTTAGCGTTTTTTTTTTTTTTAAAAGCATGATGGTAAAACACAAATGCGGTTATGAATATATTAAAACATGTGCTTGTTTGTTGTAAAAATTCGTAATAATGACAAAAAATACTAATTAGTGGATCTCCTTACTTCCGGGTGCAGCTGGAAATTTTTCCTACTCCTTGGTTTCGAGTGTGGTCCTGAAAAATCTTCGTTTGAAGGGGTGTATACCCATTGCCCTTAGCCCTACACCTTTAAGCTAAAGAGAATAGGGTATATGCTGAAGCATGCTCGTGGGACTTTTAATTTGCCAGTAACCTGGGTTAAGCACTTTCGGCAAACTGTATGCCAATGCAAAAAACGTCGCATTAAAAGTCTGTTTTCTTTAAAAATCAGCTATCTCCACTAGCTAAGTGATATCCGATATAAAGTGGGTCTCAGAATGTACAAGAAGCATTGCATTAAATTACATTTTCCCCCGCCATGTCTTCATAATATGAGCATTTATTTTACCCCAGTATATTCAATGGAGCTTCTGCGCTAGTCTGCCGATTCTAACGGGCGCATGCGAGTAAACGGCTTTTTGTCTCGTTTTGAGCTTGAGCAACTAAATGAATGCCAAAGTTTATTTAACAGATTGTATTTTAATGACATTACAACATCAATGCTTTAAAAGGAACCGTATAAAATAGAAAAAAACTCACAATAACAGGTCACCGGAAGTTTATCAGTATGGGAAACACACTAGCACGGCATATACCCTATTGGGACACCACTACCCCTTCACGGGCACGTTGAATTGGGACTGGGCCTTAGTCTCCATCTAGTCACCCTTTCTGTAATTAGTTGGTCATTATTTCTAAAAATTGTTTTGGAAATGTTTTCAATTTATATTGTTTCCATACCACCGTAACTGCTGGGTTGTTGTGTGTGTTTGCACGAACAGAAAATCAGCACAGCGAGTGGCACAGACAAGCACTACTGCTATCCTCACTTCACCTGCGCTGTGGACACTGAAAACATTCGCCGCGTATTCAATGACTGTCGTGACATTATTCAGAGGATGCACCTACGCCAGTATGAACTGCTGTGACTGGCCAAAACCAACGCTTTTCCAGTCGTACATCACACGGGCTCTTTGAAAACTACTGAAGAGTGACTTTGTCTTGTTTTTCCCCCCTTTTTTCACTTATTCGCTTTTTATTTATTTATTTAGTCCACATGTAGTCTTTATCCGAGGAGGGGAATGAATGTGTGTATAAGAAGAAACATGTTGTTTTATGTTCGTATAACATCCAGGTTGTTCATTCTTTTCAAATGTATTTTGTTGTTTTTCAGCAATGCCTGGCTTTAGATTAGATGTATTAGATCTGATTAGACCGGCTGACATAGCGTAAACCTCTGGTAACCTCTGACTTGTGCCAGTGTGGTCTAATCGTTGACTTTTTTCCCCTTCGTCGAATGAAGGGGATGTTAGAGTACTTGACAAAGAGGGTTTAATTAAAGGTTTAATGAAGCACTTTGCATTTGTTTCCTAAACGGAGACAAGAGGCAAAATTAACAATGTAGCACCTCTTTATTTATCTTTTTTTTTTTTTGTTTCTGTAAAACATGCAAAGAGGACTTTAGGGCTAGATAGAGTTTTTAATCGACTATAGAGCACAGTGCTTGGTTAGGGGCTGGGTCTTGTGGGATTTGCATTTTTCTTCAGCGGGTGGAAGCTTCTTACCATCTTTGGGAGAAATGCCACGGGCCAGCCAGTGCCTCATTTAGCTTAGGGCCCCCCACCTATTTGGGAGGTCATCCAAATACAGATATGAAGATTAACAATATATTTTTAGGGTGGGTGGGGTTGTTATGTTAATCCTAACTTAACTGCAAGATCACCCAATCTTGTACAGGACTGCAAAATGTTATTTTGTATAACTTCAACAAGAAAGACAAATCTTTGACTTGTAGAAGCTCATTGTGCCTTTGGATATGGCTGTACCTGTAAATGAGGATCAAATATTTGTGATTGGACAGTGCTGTACAGCTTGATGTCAAATCTTACATGCAGCACAGAGTGCTGACAGAAAATCTGTTTTTAGATTGAGTTTTTCTGGTTTCTAAAACTGCTTAAAAAATGTCTTTTACTATAAAACGAAGAAATCTTTGGCAAAAAAAAAAAATAATAATTTTTTAAAATATGCAAAAATAACCACTTTGTTCAGAAACTGCAAATACAGTATGTGTTGAAATTTATTTTTTTGCCATTTGACAGATTCAGCTTTAAAAACATTGGAAATCTTCTTTTTTTTTTTAATTTCCAACATTTTGACCTGCTGTTGTTTGTCTTTGGGGGACTTTTAGAAAGCCTTGTATATGCTGGCTGTACACAGGGTTGTGCTAGGGAAGGCTGTAGATATGTGGGATTGCGCGTACATGTGCAGACACACTGTACATCTGCGTTCTATGTGTACATATACATTTATAAAAACAATGAGAAAGAATTCTATAAATATATATGTACAATTGTTCATAATAATATGTGTGCCTATATGTATACATATTCTTGAATGTTTAGCGAGGTTGTATGCATAGATATGCATAAAAAGCAAAAAATAAATTAAAAAAAAACAGAAAGGATGATGAGGTTAAGGGCGTCACACACTGGATGCGCTGATTGGTGCCATGACACGGCGCGCACATGACAGCTGAAAGTATCGCACGCCAGATGCGCACATTCGCATGCAATTTAAAATGAAACTAATCCATACCTGTCAACATTGGGATGTGAAAATAAGGGATATGCCTACCGTAATAAGGGACCACCCCTCCCAAAATTCCCCAAATTACTAAATATGTTCATATGGAGCTGTTTCGTCGTAAATAAACGGTTAAATGGTCAGGAATATGTTTTTATTGTTATTATTTAAAAAGAAAAAACAAATATATTTAGATATTTTTTCGTTTGATTACATTAAATAACAGAGGTGTCACTTTAAAAATGCACACATCTAACATTATAATCAAAGCATTCAATTGCTTTCCTAACTTTTTATCCTCATTCAAGACGAAATTAGTTGTGTTTGAAAAAAAAAAAAACACTAAGATCGGCATTTTTAGATATTATTATTATTAATTATGTGTATATGTCTTTAAACACGCACCCAAAACCCAGACTTCCACTCCACTTCAAATCGCGTACAGAATCCATTTGGGAAACAGCATCTGTTTATTACTATGGAGCGCGTCAGCTGACAGTCACGCACTGCTATATGACTGTTTTGAGGATTGCATAGGAGGGGTTACGGCACCTGTATGAAAAGGAAGGGGAATTGCGACGTTTTTATATTTATTTCAAAGTGATTTCATGCCTAAACAAAGCGAAAGCACAGAACAGACTCACATTTAAGAGCAAGGGGCGGCCCCTGGTGGTTCGGCGGTATGGGTTGCGTATAGGGAGGCTTGGCTCTTTAATGTTTATTTGCCACCCTTCAGAGAAAGACTAAAAATACGGGAAAATACCTTTACGGGATGATAGTAGGATAGAACTGTAAACTACTGGAGAATCCTTGGAAAAACGGGAGGGTTGACAGGTATGAACTAATCAGGTGGCGCTCTGTGGTGCGGCAGAAATATGAACAGTGTCCTGAGTCGTGGCTGGGCACTGCTGACTTGCGGCGCCGGTGTGTGTACCCTGATAGAAACCTGTGCTTGGAATTCTAAGATGAGCGGCGCTTCTTGTGTGTGACCCCCTTTAGACTGGCCATCATGTTCATGCGCTGACTGTGCTGGAATTGTGAGCAATTCACCAGTGAGGAAATGATTCTAAGTCAAAGAAATATTGCATCCAATAATTCTTTTTATTTCATGCTTTGTTGGGAACTATACAGAAATAATTGCATGGAAATTGTTCATTTTTCAAAAGATATATAAACAGCATGCGGATTTGAAACAACATGAGGCTGAGTAAATTAAAGAACTTGCTCTTTAAATACATTAAGCAAGTGACTGCCTCCATTACTAATACTGAAAATGTACACTCTTGTTTATTTACCTTGCCCCATAAGTTGTTGATCAGGATTGTTGACTGTGTACTCTTGCAGTTCACTTCTCGACAGTGTGTAATGTCACTTTTGGCTGTGAGTGACTGTAACACTGGTAGATAGGCTTTATTCTCTTTACTCTGCAGCTTTTAGATGTTTCAATTTGCTTCAGAAGCTAAAAATACATGTGACGATGGAGACAACTTTATTATAAAATATGTTTGTGTCTGGCCTTCAAGGGTTTAAGATTCTTCTTTTTTTTATTTATTTATTTTGTTAATCGGGCACATTAGAAAACTTTGGTCTTTGTTTAGAACGGCGATGTGGGAAGTGTAATTTTGAAAATAAAATACCTTTAAAAGCAATGTGAGTTTGACTTTGAATTAAGTTACATGTGGAAAATGAACGCTCGGAAAGTTGAATGCTGTTATAATATGTATGTATTTTTTCCCATAGCTAGCAAACATCTGCAAATAAGCATTAAAACAGTAACTCAACACACTTTCCACTAGAATAAGTAGGGGAAAATGACTTGATTTGATCGTTTTTTTCTATTATTGATTCAATCAAGATGCCTTTTGACCTCATTCAAAGTTTAGTCGTCATTTTGTACTCACTTTCCCCTTCATGCTTCTTTTTAGGGTAGGAATAGGGATGCCAGGATCCATTTATCACAGATTTAATCCTTTCTGAAGCCTTTTGATTTGCCTAACTTGATTTTCTGTTTCTCAAATTTGAGGGTCTTTTCCAGTAGGGATATTCTTGTGATAACATCACTCCTCTAACTGCTTCACAAACTATAAAGTCCCTATAGTTTGCAGTTGTTGTGTCAAATAGAGTTTAGGGGGAGAATGAATTTGGTTAGAATTAAAAGATGCAGATTATTTGAAGCGTAGTGCCTATTTGACTCTTTGAGAAGTGTCTTCCAGTGCATCAGCAGCCGTTCATCGCTCACCCTGTCGAAAGGAGCCTTATCATGGACACTGTTCTTGTGGAATCCAATGTATGTCTTTATGGTGGTTAAACATGAAATATAATTTGTTATGGGTATATCTAACAGCAATATTTGGTCTCGATTTTCTGTCATTTGTTCCTGAGAAAATAGATTTGACTGAGTTTTGTAACTTTGTATAAATAAATGTTATATCGAAAAAAAAATGGCCATTGTCCTTTTCACTGATTTGCTTAACACCTTTATATTGTTATTTGTTAAATGTTGTTTAAGAAATTATATTTTAAATAAATAGTAGTATTTAATAAAAGTAATTTGCATTGGAATCGTCTGTTTGCAGTCGTGATTTACAGTACTTTACATTGTTCCTTCAGTTAATATGAATCACTCCTAAAGACATATATTGAAAGAGATGCATTACAGTTTTTCTCAGTCGCTTTGGTGCATTTCTCACGACACTATTTACATTTGCACAACAGTTAATGCATTTCTCAAAACAATTAGTCATTTGTGCACATCCTAGTAGCAGTTTCTCATTCCTTCTAACAAATTGCAAATGCTTTTGGACATGCACCAATTGCTTTCGTACAACTCTCTGCTGTTTAGAACATTATCATTTGCTTATGTCATGTCAGTCAAAATTAACTAAACTTGTAAATGCGGAATAGTCATTGCATATAAAACTAACAGTCCTCATTTCACATACAAAAATGTTGAACTAATTGTCAAAATCTGTCAAGCGAATTTTATATTAAAAAAAATGTAAATCTTTATTTTTCTGGAAATGTCTTCTAAATTGAACAATTTCATGAATGATTTACAGACCTGTGTATGTTGTAGGTTCAGTTCCAATATGTTCTGCAATATAGTTTACAGTTGTGCCCAGCTTTACCCAAAGGAAGCTTATGTTTGTTGTAAATAAGGGTGTATTTATTCTTTTGCACGATGCTGTGAATAAATTAGAATTGCAATGAGCATATACAGTAAAATGTGAAACATACATATTCAGTGTCTTGTACTCAGATACCTCACTAAATGCAGTGATGTCTAACTTTGCTGTAGTTTTCAAATGGCTCTGCAAATAGTACACAGTGCTGTCTTGAGCATTTTCAGGAAGTGTCACCAACATCAGACTTTTTTTTTATTGACAAAATGTCCAGAGTAAACTCATAATAGAAACATGACAGCCATTTGACTATCTTGTTCATGAACAATGGTGTCTGAACTTTTCATTTTGATGATACTGACGCTTTCATTGACATCAATACTTGCTTTTGAGGAATGAACTATCCATTTTGAGCATGTGACGCACTTTTGGAGGTTATCAGCTAGGTTTTGCAGTTCGTACTAATTGTTTTGAGAAATGCATTAAATGTTGTGCAGAAATGCACTGGTGTTGTAAGAAACGCACCAAAGCGACTGAGAAAAACTAACATGAGGTCCTATCATACACCCTGCGCAATAAGGTGCAAGATGTGTATGGTGCGGTTTGTTGCTATTTCCACACCAGCGCAAAACTAATTTTCACGTTTTGTGCCACCGCTGCCACGTTGTTTAAATAGTAAATCCATTTGTGCCGCTTTGTGGATTGTTCAAGACTCAAAAAAGGGGTATGATCAGTGGCGTAAAGTAACTAATTACAAATACTCAAATTACTGTAACTGAGTAGTTTTTTCTCAGGAATTGTAATTTACTCGTTTTAAAAATGTGTACTTTTACTCTGCCTTGTACATTTTTAATGCTGTATTTGTACTTTTACTCCACTACTTTCCTTCAACCTGCAGTCACTACTTTATTATTTCCTGTCTATGGGGATTAGAAAAATCAGTTCTGTGATTTCTGTCTAATCAAATCACACATAGAAGGTAAAAGTGTCCAAGAAGATGTTCAAAATCTTTACAGGCATTGACCCAGATTGTTTAGATGCATGTCACTGATGAAAAGATGGCAGTTGTTTACTGTGTGATGACCGTAATGGTTTCAAACACCCAACAGTCGAATTTCGAATAGCAATATTCGTTTTTAAATCAACAGCCCTGTCTGTTCAAACACTGGATGATTCGTTTGTTCAGTTCAAAAGAGTTGATTCTTTTGAAGCCGCTTTAAATTATCTCAAAGGTAACATAACAGAATTTAAAGTTAACGCACAACATAATTGTGTATTACTTGTGCGAGGCCCTACACCATAAAAACATAGCACTGTTGTAGGGTATTAAAGTAGACCTTTTTCCTATTGTTGTGAAAATAGAAATCAGAACATGTTTTTGTGAAATTTATACAGAAATTCAAGTTTATTAGAGGTAATAATTTACAGACACTCACACAAGTGGATGGAGAAGATAATTGGGTAGCAGCAATTTTCATTAGGTACTTGGGTAGCACGCAATAGACAATCCACAGCTTGCTGCTTCATGCAATGTACAGCCCGTAATCCACATGCACGTGAGCTTGTTCCATTTACATTCATCCTGTCATTTACACACACTAAACATTTATCTACACGCCTCCACCTCACAACGCATGACTCTCTGGACTTCGAGCGACTTTAGGTGGATCATGGTAGTCACAACAGATAAGAGGTTTGAGTTTGGACAGGTATAAAGAATTCCTAAAAAGTCTGGTCAGTTCATACGTTTCATGTGAAAGCAATGAAAGTTACTCTAGGTTTAGTCCAAATAGACCCACTTCATTTAACAAAGAATACAGTGTAAACAAAGTTGACAGGTGCTTCACAAGTTTCAATTTAGCATTATAAAAAAACAACAACAGTTTAAATGACAATGCATAGAAAACAGTAAAATTCAGGTATAAGACATTGAACATTTACTTCTACATTATCTATTTTTACGAACATTAATTTAAATCTCCTGTTACAAATAGACATAACCTTCATGTATGTTACAAAGTCTTGTGTTTTCCTATAAGGTTGTTGGTGAATTGGAGCGAGTTTCTGAACATCTTGAGATGGATGAGTGTTATCAGTGCAATGATTAGACAGCTACTGCAGTAAACCACAAGCACAGTCCTCTCCTCCGGCAAAAAACACTTTGACAACTGAAATTCAGATTGGGAAAATGTGCCCTAAAAGAAGTAAAAACGAAGATACGACATTAATTAGTGAATTACAAATGGAATATTTACTATCTATCTATCTATCTATCTATCTATCTATATATATATATATATATATATATATATATATATATATATATATATATATATAAGGGATGTAACGGTATCAGAATTTCACGGTACGGTAATATTATAATATATAATATAAAACGGTATTTATTGAATCATTTACAGTGAAAAACAAAACTTATGAAAATACTCCAAAAAAGTGTCAAAAGTGTCAATGACATACAAATTAGCCATCTATCTGTAAGCTTTGAAACAGGAACTTCAATTTTAATAACAAAAAAATATTAAACCATGTAAAAAAAATAAAGTTACAATTTAGTATTGTTGAAAACTCATCACATTCAACATTTAATCACTCACTCACTTAGATAGAGATGGGTTTAAAGGAAAATTATCATATAAATATAATCTGGTAAAAGCTGGTATCTCTGGGCATTTACAATGTCCCCTGCAACAGAAAAAAACCCTCTCATTTGGGACTGAGGTTTCTGTTTGCGACAACACAGCTGATAAGAACTCGCGCGACAAGAGTTTAGAGTTTTCCAGCTCTTTTTCATCCCCGCTTCTAGCAGCACACTCCATTTCCGCATTACTGGATCTGTAGCGACAACAGACCGCAAGGGATGATGGTCAAGCATGGGCTGATGGGAATTGTAGTTTTCGCTACCTCCGCTATATATATATATATATATATATACAGAACATATTGTTTTCACTATTTACAGCAAAATGTTACTGTATTTTACAGAATACATTTTCTTTGGTTCTGAAGCAATGAAGTTTACTGAAGAGACTCATTATAGAGAATGTTTTTCACTGTGCACATACATAAACACCTGATGATGCTTGGTTTTTTCAACTGAATTCCAGATTACTGTCAGACAAGTTATGCTATCTAGGAAAAGTGTCTGTTGGCTCTCTGTTTGCTGCATTTAGTGGAACTATTTCATGTGGATGTTTAAACGGTTATGCTAAGACCAACTGAATGACTTGAAAAATTGTGATGTTCATTGCTACTGTCACTATTGGGATTCACTGCCATATTTTGCACCTGTTAATGGAGTCAGCGTAATGTGTGTGTGTGTGTCTGTGTGTATAATAGAAAATAACATATGCCACTTAGGCTACATTCACAAAATTGACAGAGTAAACAGCCCAAACCGCATGGAATCTGATCTTTTCACTTCATATTTGTGCTACTTTCAGATGTAGTATTAAATCAGACACAGATCTGGGGCCTCATGTATCAACGCTGCGTACGCACAAAAACTTTGCGTACGCCAGGTTTCACGCTCAGAATCGCTCACGTTTGGATTTACTAACAATGAACTGAACGTGGGAATGTGCGCAGGTTCACGGCAGCTTTCTGGCAGGCGTACGCACATTTTTTGTGCGTGTCTGTTTTATTTCCATTGGCGACTCCTAGAGGCAGTTGTGTTAAATTCTTCTCTACAAAGTGTCTGAGCCTTGCAATGGCAGCTGTATGAGACGGGTTCATATAGTAGGTATGTAAGATTTCCATACCATACAGTTGACCAGCTAAACATTAAAGCGCAAATTGCAGCAGTCGCAATGTAATCTGAGCAATCTACCGCACACACATTGCTATAAAGACACTCTCTGAAGATGAATTTGCATGCGTGAATCAGAAACATTTCCATTCAATAAATGTGCAAATAAAATATGATGCACAAACTTATTGATGATTCCTACTTGTCTTTCTCTTGATAAATAGTGGGCAAAATCTGATATGTAGCGGGGAAAAAAGAATAAAGAATTTATCAGACGCTGGATTCGAGCCGAGTTGACGCTCGAATATGTCTGTACATGATCTCATGCTTCTTATGAGGTGCGCCACTGAGACCGCTTAGGGTGCTGCAACATTTTACAGATATAAACCACACTATTTCTTTTTTAAATGCACTCAGTGCGATGTTCAGACCCAACTGTGTTAACCGTATCAGCTAAACTCCCACTCTATTTTTTTCTTTTGTTGTTAATTCCGGAGAACAAACTTGCAAATAACACCGATTTTCTCCGGTCTACCTCCGAAAGCAGCACCTCCATTTCACATTCTGTTCAAAGTTTCTCTTTTTGCTTGATTTTGCCGTTGCTTTTTCGTTGGGTTTTGCCATTAGCATAGTCATTAGCATATTCATACGGGGGAGGAGGCAGGGAGGGGTTTTGTGCTCGTGCATGTTGCGCTCAGTTTCACGTTCATTCAGATGTACAAAAGAATATGCGTGAGATTTGGCGTACGCAGTGTTTCATACATCTGAAATTTTTTCTGCGTACGCACATTTACAGCTTTGTGCGTACGCAATGTTTTAGTAAGATTTCCACGCAAGTCTTCGTACATGAGGCCCCTGATGTTTTGCAATGCTACCAGTGTGAACGGCTATGTCGGATTTCATGTGACTTTAACATAATCTTCGAGCGACATGCGTCATCATTATGTGCTGCAGACATCATCTAATACTCAGCAGCACAGTAGAACGGCACACAGGGCGATTACTGTACCACAAAGTTGGTTGTTTATGTTGCTTGTTAACTAATCTGGTTAACGATTGGGGCACGGGTTAATCGCGAAGCCGAAGAGCGTCGTGGGTGTTCCGGATAAGGGATCCGTGTGCAAAGAAGTGGGAACTTTCTCTTAGAGAGAGAAAAGGGCAGGTGTTTGAGCACCCAAACCCCCCTTCTTCACGTGTCTGTTGTTAATAACGAAGTAAAATTAAATAACTTTGCATACGAAGATGAAACAACTCCACCTTCACAGTTTAGTCTGCAGCTGCTCATTAACCCTTGAAGAGTTCTCTACACCAGTGGTCAGAGCACCACGTGCCATGGTTGTCATAAATCAATAATGATCAGTGTTTTCAATCACAAGAGACTTACTTTAGGTCTCAAATGCCAAAATACCAGCCTGATCTCATGAGAAACCATAAGTATTTTACGTCTTGCCAGTTTAGTGGCTAATTTGTACGAATTTGTGCGAGTTCAGTCGTACGAAATTGTACGATTTTAAAAAGGAGGCGTGGCAACTAACCCCACCCCTAAACCCAGCTGTCATTGGGGGACGAGCAAATCGTACTAAATTGTACAAATAAGATCGTACGAAATCATACGAATTAGCCACTAAATCAAAAAGTTACGAATTGCTGTGAGATTGCGTTGGAAATACACATTAATAGTAGCAGAACAGCCCTTTACAGTTCATGAAATACAACACGGTTGTCTGTGAAAAGGGTAATAATCATATAAGCATGATCTGACTATGTGCTTACCCCATGCAGTATACACACTGTGTGCAAAATTAGACATTTTGTGCTCTCCGTAATGTACTTTTGCGCATGCGGGTCAGTTTAGGACCATGTTCTGTTCACACTGGAAATCTGATACTGGCCACATTTATGAGAGCATTGTGAACAGCCATCAAAAAAAAAAATCAGATCTGAGGACAAATCAGATTTGAGGACTAAGCCTCGCAGTGTGAACGTAGCCTTAAAGAATTGACAAATATGTAAGGTGGTATCAGGGACGAAATAGGCTTTTTTGTTGTTGTAGTCTACAACAGATAGTCTACCTGGACGTAACATGACCTGTTAAAGGGTTACATATGGCTTCACACATATGGATTGGAAAAAAACAACAACTTTACACTCATGCTTTAATTACCAGGATGAAGCTGGGGTTATTGCGGTTCCTCCAGCTGAAGGATGGAACACTGATCTCAGGGTAGAGGTTCTCATGCAATACCTCACAGCCATTGTGAGTGTGTCCACTCAGAATGAGGCGGGGCTTGAACCACCACAAGAGCTGTGGAGAAGACAATAAGTGTGCTTTTAATATTCATATATTGCATATTTTCGATTATTCTTTTCAAGAACATTTTGGTATACAGTGTATGTAATGCTAAGTCCGTAAAATCGACAGAAGTCTAAATATCTTGTAAAGAACTGATGCCATGAACCAGAGGTCGCGTTAACTGAATATTTTACGTCATTGATGGATTTTTTTCAGCAGTGACGAAAAAATCTGAAGGTGATCCATCATTTTGACGAATTATGCTGAGGGGGATATATTGTAATTTGTTGCTAACTGTAATTCCCACTCCTGTCTAGCTGATGCCGATAGTCCTTGTTTTGTCTCCTCTTGTCACCGCTGCGTAGCAAAAATGTCACAGCAGCTAAGTGTGAGAAGATTCTTTATATGGCCAAATAGTTGTGATATTAATAATAAAAGTTAAAAATGTGGAAGTGATGCAGTGGACGATGAAGAACAAACAGACAAAAATCCTCAGTTGCCGACAGCTGCTGTTACAGGCCAACCAAGTGGCAGCAAGGTCAGGTGCTTTGGAGTGCGTTGTGAGCTAAGCACCACCCATAGATAAATACACTAGATATCGCATAGGGACCCTGAGCATGCGTCAATAGCGCCGCCACATTGGTACAGTGCTCCCATGACAAGTGTCATTCAACTGCACTTGTCAAGACAGTGTTATTACGTGAAGATGCGGGACTTTAGCGCTGTCTACAGGTGTAGTAGAGAGCAAACAAAGAAAACAATGCACAAAGGCAGAACATTTCATAGGTATTATTAAGTGTTTTTCTGTTTTTGTATGTTCTGAACTTTTGTGCTAATCAGGTAACGTTATTGATGATAACAGTCACTTACTGCATTCACCATAAGGCAAAGCAGCTCCAACTCACACTAAACACTCGGCTTATGCTAGTTTTGTTGAATAAAATCAGCAAACAATGCAAAAGAAATATGACAACGAGATGCTGCACTGCCAGAAACTTGTATTATTGTCGGCTAACGTTAGTGAAAGAGTCGTTCGGGGGATTCATTCACAAATGAATCGCTCCCTCCGTCAGTATGAGAAGTGAAAGCAGGAGAGAAGCTGTGTTTCAGGACATGATTAGATCAAATTTAACAGGGAGGGTGGATAGTACATTTCTGTACACACAAACACAAGCTTTTTGTCAGTAATGCCCGTGCGGTCACTGATCCATCAATGTAGAAAAGTGATGTAAAATTTAAATTTTCGTAATTAGAAAAAAAATTACATACTAACATCCAGGAAAACTCCCGATCATAGATATATGTGTATATGTGTATATCTCTGGCTTTGGATGGCCACAGTCCTCCTCTGTACCTTGGTCCCGCATTCATTTTAAAGGAGCGCTACCCTGTAGCAAGATGGCGGCACTATTGACGCATTCCGTCCAATAGACAACAATAGGCCAGGCGACATCTAGTGTATATATCTATGAGCACCACCGAACGCAGGTGCAGAAGGAGCGCATGCTGCAGCATTTTTTCCTGGTGAAACGAGTGCTTGCAGGATCGGTAAATACCACATTCAGAGAATCCAGATCAACTTCTGATCACTTTCTTAGGAGAAATGTTTCCTAACTATAAACGCTGGCTGAAGTGGCTCTAGTAATTCCAGTCTCCAGTGTTACAGCAGAACGCGGCTTCAGCCACCAGAACAAAATTAAAACTGTCAGGAGAAGTCGACTTTCTGAGGTAAAGGCACAGATTTTAATGACAATTGCCTCTGCATCAGTCTCCCTTGATGCGCTTGATTACACACAGGCAAGCACCCAGTTCAGGTTGACGCAGGAGAAAGATATGAGTTAAGGCAGATAGGAGTTTTTGTTCCTTTGTCAAATAAATAAGTGAATAATTTAGCCTATATGCTCGTCATGCAAGTTCATTATTAAAACATAAATGAAAAAAGCAATTAGAAAATATGCAGATTAAATGACGGTCAATAACAGGTTATGACTGAATTTTTACAACCCTCTCCGTCAAAATGACGGACAATGAAAAAGTCTAACGCGCCCTCTGCCATGAACATCACAGACTTTGTAAAATGTAGATTCATTTTTAGTACCAGCTCACTGATTAATGCCTGTTTTACATGTACTCTGTCTGCAGTGCATTTGCGGTTCTGAATTATTTCTGTACCCATGTTAACAGGTCACAGCTTTCATACTGCATGCAGTTGCATTCTGGCAGTCTGTTGTAATTGCGGTGCAACTGTAGCCATCCACCGATCGTTTCCACACCGAGGCTATTTTTGCTGTGCTGGATATGGCCAAATGAACATTGATTGTAAACATTCTACATTTACATTAATGATGGATACTAGGATGGCCTTCATACCAGAAAGAGATCAAGAAGACTCTTATTTATTTAGTTCAACGGTTCTTCACAAACAACAAATGCTGTCCACAGTGTTATTGAAAAGAAAATAACTTTTGGGAGCAAACAGAACATTACCCAAACACATGCAGGGCTCAAGTTTCAAATGGAAGCTAGACAACATGGGAGCATACAGCAAGGGATCACATTATGACCTGCAGATACATTCTGTATGACCTGTGGATTGTCTTGCCTCTTGTAGAAATGTGTGAACACTGATCATTAATAGTCATTATATAGTTCGGTGGCTGGGAAGCAGTTTCCTCTGCTGTTGGTGGCATAAGTAAGATTTACAATGTTTGTATTTGAAGTACAATGTTTATATGTATTAAATTGTATACAGTGCATCCCGAAAGTAGTCATAGCGCTTCACTTTTTACACATTTTTTTTATTATACAGCCTTATTTTAAAATGGATTAAACTGATTTATTTCCTCAAAAAAATGTTGAAATTGTTGCAAATTTATTAAAAATAAAAAACCTGAAAAATCACATGTACATAAGTATTCACAGCCTTCGCCTTGAAGCTCTAAATTGAGCTCAGGTACATTCTGTTTCCACTGATCATTCTTGAGATGTTTCAACATGTTAATTGGAGTTCACCTGTGGTAAATTCAGTTGATTGGGCATGATTTGAAAAGGCATACAACTGTCTGTATAAGGTCCCAGGGTTGATAGTGCATGTCAAAGCACAAACCAAGCATGAAGACAAAGGAATTGTCTGTAGACCTACGAGACAGGATTGTCTTGAGGCACAAGACTGGGGAAGGTTGCAGAAACATGTCTGCTGCTCTGATAGTTCCAATGAGCACAGTGGCCTCCATCATCCATAAGTGGAAGATGTTTGGAATCGCCAGAGCTCTTCCTAGAGCTGGCCGGCCATATAAGCTGAGTGATCGGGGAGGAAGGGCCTTAGTCAGGGAGGTGATCAATAAGCCGAGGGTCAATCTGTCTGAGCTCCAGCATATCACCATACAGGCCTGCATGGTAGAGTGACCAGATGGAAGCCACTCCCTGCCTGTAAATTGCCAAAAGGCATCTGAAGGACTCTCAGACCATAAGAAACTAAATTCTCTGGTCTGATGAGATTAAAATCAAACTCTTCGGAGTAAATGCCAGGCGTTGCCGTTTGGAGAAAACCAGGCACCACTCATCACCAGGCTAATACCATCCCTGCAGTGTAGCATGGTGGTGGCAGCATCATGCTGTGGGGATGTTTTTCAGCAGCAGCAACTGGAAGGCTAGTCAAGATAGAAGGAAAGATGAATTCAGCAATGTACAGAAACATCCTGAATGAAATCCTGCTTTAGAGTGCACGTGAACTCAGACTGGGGCGACGGTTCATCTTCAAGCAGGACAATGACCCAAAGCACACTGCCAAAATATAAATGAAGTTGCTTTACAACACTCGGTGAATGTCCTTGAGTGGCTCAGCCAGAGCCCAGACCTCAATCCTATTGAACATCTCAGGAGTGATCTAAAAATGGCTGTACACCGTCGCTTCCCATCAAACCAGATAGAGCTTGAGAGGTACTGCAAAGAGAAATGGGCAAAAATTCCCAAAGACAGATGTGCCAAGCTTGTGGCATCATATTCAAAAAGACTTGAGGCTGTAATTGCTGCCAAAGGTGCATCAACAAAGTATTAAGCAAAGGCTGTGAATACTGGTGTACAACTGATTTTTCAGGTTTTTTTATTTTTAATAAATTTGCAACAATTAAAAAAAATACATTGTCATTATGGGGTATTGTGGGTAGAATTTTGAGAATATAAATGAATTAAATCCATTTTGGAAGAAGGCTGTCACATAAATGTGGAAAAAGTGAAGCGCTTTGAATACGTTCTGGATGCACTGTATTATTTTACATAAACAGTGGATCAAATGGGTGACAGTAAGCACACTGCAAACGTATGATGTGTGAAAGCACAATAGCTAATTCCTGTATCAGTGTTGCATACGTACATCTAGACTCTACACGCACTGCAGACAGAGTATGGTTAAAACAGGCGTAAGTTCAACACTCTCTATAAAACCAAGTGTGGACACAATAAATATGCATTGTGAAGTGCAGTCAGTTTCTTCTTGTTTCACCTTTTTAGAGGCATTCTTGGATATAACATCATACCGCTCCTGGAACAGCAGGTACTGTTCATCCAGAGGGGCTGTGTCTACACCTGTACACATAGCATCACTTACTCTATATAGAGGGTAATGCTGGGAAACATCGATATCATTATTGCAGGGAAGATATATGCTGCAGTTCTCAAAGAAATATATTAATCAGATATGACTATAAGATAAATGTGCATCATTAATAAATAAAATAATTAGTTATGACTGATAAAGCCAACCACATAAACTCACCTGTAGTAGAACAGGTGCTGCTGGGGAAAAACGTGGGGCGTTCTTGCACTGGCCATTATGCTGTGCACCCTAAAAGTGGGTAAAAAATGTATATATACACATGAGAGCCGAAAAAAAAAAGTAAAACCTAAAAAAAACTATATTCCAACATTACAGTGCAAAGAATAAAAAAGAGGTGCATTCTGGTGACAAAAAGGGACAGCTACTTTTCCAAAGGGAAAAATTCCCTTGTGCCATTCCAATGAAACATTGCCATCGCTAAAGTGAACATTTTTACAATACAACTAACTGAATGAAACATAAATGGTTTGTAGTGATCAGCGGTAAAGTCAGAAACTTGTGGAAAGTGGAGATTAATTTCCAATATGAACAAATGTTGCAGAGTTAACACTTAAAGCTCGTTTCCACTGACTGGTCCAGTGCGGTACGCTTCGGTATGGTTGACCTTTATCAGGTTTGTGTTTCCACTACCAAGGGTACCCTTTTGGTGGGCGTGGTGTACGACAGAAAGTTTCAGTCGACGTCATTTTTGCTCGAGAAAATGTCTACAGTAAAGATGCACAGGTCGTTTACATATCATATGAGAAGCACTACTCACAAAACAGATGCTTTATACACATAAATACTTCTGTATAAATGTTAATGACAAACTTTTCTACGAACAGCAGATCAACTGCAGATCAATGACGAAAATAGCTTACTGTAATGTCTGTAATTATATTAAATAAATAAATGCAACATATATGAACACACACAGACCCTTGCAGTCTCCGATATGTTAGCAACTACAAAAAAAACTACACACAGCAGACATTTAGGGCCCTATCATACACCCTGCGCAGTGTGGCGCAAGGCGTGGCGCAGTAGTCTTTTGGTAGTTTCAGCTTGGCGCAAGAATCGTTTTGAGGCGTTGCGCTACGCTCTTTAAATAGCAAATGCATTGGCGCTCATTTTTGCATCCATAAGCGTTCTGGTCTAAAAAGGGAGGCGTTCTGAGGCGGACCGCTGGCGCGTTGCTATTTTGAGAATCTATAATAGATTTTTCATTAGATCAAAACTAACCCGGTCTAAACTCCGGCGCAAAGTTGCGCCTCGCTTATGCACTGCTTAATACGCACAAGAGAGCAATAGGCAAAAATATCTTTACATATGAAAAAATTTAAATATTAAGGATATATATAGTAGGGCTATATAATTAGAAAAGATATAGAATATAAATATAAAGGAATAAAATATTACAAAACATATTATTTTCTAGCCTACATAAATATGAAAAATCACTGCTTTTATGTCTTCTTCATCTCGGGAGGCTTTTTCAGTTCATTCATAACAATTTGCTTTTGTATAATGTTATTATTATTAGCAGTATTATTTATTATATCCATATTTATATTTGTTTTATTAAAAACAAGCTTAGATTTGCCCATCTGTCAGGTTTTAGACCATATGGGGCACAGCATGTGTTTTAGGATATAACTCAGGTTTTTGAGCACATTTTGCTATTATTATTCATTTATTATTATTCATTTATTGCTGGAAATTAGAACTGAATTTAGAAATAGTTTTGAAACGAATATTTGCGCTTAACAAACAAAAGTATTTATTTATAGACTAATTGATGTCTGTGCAAAGGTTTCCCTATCCAAGAGCGAAAGTGAAAGTAGTTCCATTATCTCTCATTCTCACGCAGTAGATGCTCTGTTTACCAGTTTTCTGTTAAAAAACTGTTAACTGTGAACTGTTTGCTTGTGAAATGCTAATTTTTTCCACTTAGACTTACTTTGCGTCCTGTAAATAGCGAATGCTCTCTTGGCGCGACACAGCTGACTCTTAAAGGGAATGGGAGATGAGACTCTAATTGGTTTATTCTCAAAACACACCTATAACTCATTAAGAAAATAAACTCAACCCTTTTAGAACATGCGCCGCGGCGCAAGGCAGATTTCCCGTCCTTAAATTAGTAAAAACGCGTTCTGACACGCCCTGAAAGCGTTTGCGCCCTGCGTTTTGCGCTCAGCGCATGGACCGTCAAAATAGAGCCCTTAGTGCTTATTTAGGTTCAAAAACAACGCAAAATATAGCCTACAGTCAGAGCAAACCTCTCATCTGTGTCTGTAATCTTCAGCAGCACATGTAGCCTCTGTTAGAGAGTAATTCCATCATTCATAGTTCACATTAATCCGAAAGGTGAGGATAAGAGTTAAACATGGCAGTTCATGTTTGCTGAAAAAATAACGTGCTCCTTTTTTCCGCCTTTTCTTTTGTTTTCGCGCTTCACTCTCGCGTTGTCAGTTTCTGACAGGATCGGGTTTCAAAAGCACGTCAATAATCAAGCGCGCGTATTATTATGTGCTCAAGAAGATTGTTATTTCAGATATAGACGCGCAGTGAGCGCAAGCAAGAAAGTGAAACCGCTCACGCTTCAGACTGGCACTTGTGTAAAGGCACTATTAATGCTGAGAAGTACATAGAGATTTTGGAGCACAATATGTTTTCCAGGTAAGTCAAGAGATACAGTATGTTGTGTTCCTGTATATGGTGGATATTATGAGACGCACAACCCATTTTTTAAAATCCAAATAAAAAAGCCATTGTGGCACTGCACAAGACAAATTGGAGGACTGCACAAGAAAAGATGTGCATTCTTATCAACCAAATCTGTATCATATTGGCAAATTTGCTACTAAAAGAAATCTGAATCAGCCATGGAAATTGCATCACTAAACTTTTGAAGGCTCACAAATTTAATTCAACTCCTAACTGACAGTAGTACTAGCTCCGAAGTAGCACCCTGGTTCATGCTGGAGGAAAAGCAACAATAGTTTAATTTCTTTGTTTCATCTACATGTGTTAGATTCTTGGTTCTACTGATAGAAAATGTCCAAAATATCATAGGGTCAAAGTAAAGAAGAAAAATGTATAGTTACAATTAAAGGTGAAACTATTATACGAATTACCTGAATGGAGCAATTAAGAGCATGTGAGAGCTTCTGTAACTCCTCCTCCACGTGTTGGCAGATGGGGCAATGATCACCATGTAATGCAACACTGTTCACCAGCAAGAAACTGTGGAGGTGGTGGGAGAGAGGGAGGAGGAAAGCAAAAGAGTTATCACAATCCATGGGTAAAACTCTATCATTCTAATTTGCATGATGACAACAACAAGCAGATATTACTTGTGTTCAGTTTGGTTATGCAAATTCCCATTGTGCTGACAGAAAAGGTGCTTTGTTTGAAACTGTCATCTATGTAAGCGGTCTTTTATACATGAACCCTTTAGACCAAAGGTCCCCAACTTTATCACCTCGGACCAGTCGATTTTACTGGGATTACTGAGAAGTGTTTTGTAGGTTGCTAAGTGACCATCAACAGTTTACTCAGAGAATGACAATCTGACAACATTACCAACACTCTGATACAAGTTTTATTTATTGAGAAAATTATAAAGCACTGCAGTGTTTGTCTGAGATAATTAGTCTACCAAAATATGTATATTCCATACGAAGTATTAAGCTTGTCAGTCAGTTCTTGTCACGTGACTCGTAGTGCGCTCGCAGCATTCATTCAACTGGGTGCATCTGGTAGGCATGAGTGCGTCATGCCACTTGCACACACAAGCCGCACACCTCCATTGGAAAAAACGAACTTGCACGAACTGCGAAAATACACAATATGTGAACGGCCCCGAAAAGGCTGCCGTCATTTGCGATCTCCAGCAATTGATCTTTTTTCACACACATGGTGGATTCGCCTGATTTGTTGACAAATAGGTTGCAGATCTATTCCTTGGCAGTTAGCAGATCACTCCACTGGGTCTCTTCCCCTTAGCAAAAAAACTTTACAAAAATGTCTGTTTCTTACTCGTTTTGCTGCTTGTGAGTTAAAATTGGGCGCTCAAGTTGCCGAGATATAAAGCGAGAGAATACGGTCATTTTTTAAAATAACAGATTTTTCAAAATAACATATTGCTCAGACTTTATTGTACTTGCTTTTAATGTATTTGAACTAATACTGCTGTTGATTAGCATTACCTCCTGGACTATTTAAAAAATGCAATTTAATGGGAATGGAAAACAACTGCTGCAAGTCATTTTCCCCTCATTGTCAGCAGTGATGGGAATAACGGCATAATAAATACACGGTGTTACTAACGGCGATACTTTTATCAGTAACGATAAACAGACGTATAACAGCTGTCAATTGTCTTTGATTCCAGAACAGATTGGAGTTGTCAGTAAAATTCAGTTCTGTACTGTATCTTTACTGTTTCTGAAAGGTCCCAGATATTAGGAAAATCTTCAATATGTGATATTGTAGTTGAATATTGCAACTTCTGTTAGATTATACAAAAAAAAAAAAAAATCAAAGATCATCATTTAAAATCAAACATGAAAAATATTAAACATACTAAAATTATACGATTTATTTCAGGATAAAAATATCTGTCAAGGAAAGTGCAAACATTAATAGTTGAGGAAAGCTATCAGACCTTTATCATATTTCAGTGATTGACATCTCCAACTAAGTTTGGAGACAATATGACTCTGGTAGGGCTCAATAGTCCTTCAGCAATAAACAGCTAATTCAATATACACAGGGGTGATAGTGGAAAAAATTCCTGAGCCTGAACTTTTTTTCCTTGCCCCTGAGGTGAGTAGGGGTGGGGGTACTATGTATGCAACGCACTTTTAACACATAACTTTTGGGCCCCTGGGCCCAAATATATTAACAGCCGATGTGCAACCCTGATCATCATTATTGTCAAGTGGCTCTTTTTAGACACATGCCAGTAATGTCAGTGACACATGCCAGTGTCAGTGATCTTGTGACATGTGCCAGTAGGTGTCAGTATAAGCACGTTATAAGCACATTAATCTTATAAGTCTCTTTGCTTTAATATTTAAAAATCATTAGGCAAATGACACCTGTTATCTTACATGCATATATGTTATGAGTTTTCAACATGCATTTTATTATAACTTTTTAAAGGATATTATTTAAAATACCTTAAAATGAAAATAAATTAAAATAATAAAATAAATGAATGAATTAAAAACATAGAGAAGTCCATATTGTAGGGAACAAAGGAACTGCCAGGATGCAATAATATACAGTACAACAGATAAGTGTAACCCCTCCCATACATAAGCATGCCACAATAAATTTGACTGACATGTACTGTCAAATGACTATATTACGTACGGAAGTATGACTACGAATACATAAAATAAATGCGTTTAAATTAAAACATCGTGGAGTAGCTCAGCAAATAAACTAACTTGCGACGCGATAAATTAGGTTAAAAGTCGCGTAATGATTAAATATGGTTTTGCTCGTGTTAATTAATGTCATAAGCTTCGCCGGGTGTCGATGTCACTGCAGTGACATGCAGCGCGACACTCTGATTGACACAGGTCACTACACATGCCACTAGCGAGTGACACATGACAGTGGAAAACCGGACGTGCCACCGGAAGTGTCACTACACTCAGTGGCATGTGCAGTGTCATCTGTACGTCAGATGTCGTGTCACTCCATGTTAAAACTGCTACTGTGAATCCGCGTTCAAGCGCACACAATAAGCTAAAACTCGCCCCAAGCACCGGCAAAAACAAATAACAATGAATGTGTCGAGGAAAGAGTAAGGACATATCTTAATTATTTATTCTGAGTCAGTGTCGCAAAGATCCTGACTGGCAATCTCCTCTTGGACTCGCCTTTAGAGTGAAATTCATCTTTACGGATTACATGAAGGAGTTTTTTTGTTTTCGATTTGTTTAATTTCGTTAAGTAATAATTTAAAGCTTTCTATAAATATATTTATTATGTCTGTGAGGCATATACATTTTGCTTCATTTTGTTAAGCGCTCCTGTTTAAAAACCAGACGACAGAAAGCGCATAATTTTGGTTTTCTTTATTTTATAAAAACGTTTTTTGATGTATTACTCGTACTTTGTGAGCAAAAATGAAGGATAACTTTAAATTGCTCCCACTGAAAAAATGCAAGTGATTGCTCTAGCGCCTCGATGTCCTGCAAGCTTTTCATAAGCAAACTATGCGCCTAATAGCACACATTCTTTAACGTTTAAGCTACCATTGTTTTATACTTGAACTGTTTTATATCTTTTATTTTAGGCAAGTCGTGATGATCTGAGAAGGCAAACTGATCAAACAGACAATGATGGTCTTCCGCTGGGCGCTGTTCGTTAAAAAAAAACGTATTTTTAACGAATAAAAAATGCTCCAAACGTTTTTCTAAAGAAGCCGAATAAAAAACGAAACTAAATATAAACACTTTGCCATTACATACAAAACTGAACTATTTCATAGCTGAAACACTAAGTTGTTTAAGGAGAAGGGGGAAATATCTTTTTGTTCCGTCTATTGCTTCACCGTTATTTCGAGATTAAACCCAGCGTAAATATGCAGATGTCATTCCCAAAACATATCAGCGTATATGTGCCGAAAACGAAAGTTTCATACAAATTCTGAATGGATTATAGCCTGGAAAGTGCAAAGCACGCTCCTCTTATTATCACTAAAAAGCGTCACTAATCTTAGTTCATAGAGATCTCACAAAGATCCGTTATAATTTATAAAGCTCTCTAAATTACACAATTAATCTTTTATTTACATGGCGTCTACACTCAAAAGATGATTCACGAGCACACAAAATGGCACTTAATAAAAACCAACCCGGCGCTTTCAGCAGTGAGTGAATTCTGTTAATCTAGAGAAATGACAGATCAATATCCGTGAACCTGATTTTTTTTCCCCGCAGCCACAGTACGCCGGAAATCCGGCGTGGTGCCGGAACGCTATCACCCCTGTATACATGTATGAAAACACATAGTTTACTTTAATAAGAACTTTAAGCAGATGTGCTTACTTGACTCCTTTAATGGTGAGAATCCTTGCTGATGTAACATTAAATACCTGCTCAAACCGCTCTAACTTCTGCTTAGTCATTCTAATAAAAGGAGAGACAAATTATAAACAAATGTACATTAGTCAAATCAGACATTTGCAAAAAATATACTAAAATTCTATTAAATACAAAAACAAGTTTTCAAAATATTTAAACACTGCAAATATTTAGAATACATTTTTTTAAAAAAGGAATTCAACATTTCATAAAGACTGTACAATATAGTAAAAACTCACTCATGATGGAAGCCAATGTCGTGATTTCCAACAAGAACCACAAGCTTTGTGTCAACAGGATGACGAAAGATCCGTTTAAAACGTCTGACATCATCTTCCCAGTCCTGAATTAGGAATTACAGAGGTTAAATGGCTGATGTAACTCAGTTAAATAGTTTTACATAAAGATTATTGATTAATATTAGTATAATTAGTATTAATAATGCCATTTAATGAATTTGTAAGCCATTCACATAAAGCTACAATTATTCAAACCATATTAACCAGATACCATATGAAAAGAAACAGTGTGATGGAAAAGGTGTTAAACGCTAAACCTGTTATTTTTTGTTTTGTTTATTGTTATTATTATATGTATATTGTTATCATTCTATTGATGCGAGCCACAGATTTAATGTAAAGGCTGTTATTACTTTATGTATTAAAGTTCAGCAACTTGGTTTGTTGCAAAAAGTCAAGTCAATGAAAGTCCTTTCCCCCTCAGAAATCGTTCCTCAACTATCATTACCATTAATAAGTGTGTGTATTGTATTATGTTAAGCACATTTGAGCATCACATATTATTTGCACATTTATCGAATGGAAATGTTTCTGATTCGCGTATGCAAATTCGTCTTCAGATGGTGCCATTATAGCAATGTGTGTGTAGTCGTCGCTCCGATTATACCGGGAAAAACCGGCGATCGCTGCAACTTGCTCTTTAATGTTTGGCTAGTCAACTGCATGGTATGGAAACCTTATATACCTGCTATACATGCGGATGATCCCGTCCGCTGCAGCTGGCATTGCATGGCTCAAAGATACTTTGTAGTGTGCAATTTAACACAATTGCCTCTAGGAGTTGCCAATGGAGATAAAACAAACACACACAAGAAATGCGCGTACACCAGACATGAAGTTGTCGTGGACCAACGCACATTCTCACGTTAATTTTATCGTTAGTAAACCTAAATGTGAGAGTTAAACCTGACGTACGTTGATACATGAGGCCCCTGCTGTACTGCTATCCACTGTGTCTGCATTTTGACCCGGGGATTCAGGAAGAGAGAAGTCTTCATTTTGTTTTTATATAAACATGACTATCTTTTATGTTTGATATGACAATGATATAACAAAATGTGGTTATTTATTATATGAAATTATGAACAGCCTCTCATAGATGTCACAGGGTTTCTGCAGATATCATAATGTCAAATTTAAGACCATTAAGTATTAAATTGAAAACCTATATCACAATATCAAAAACACGCATGCTTATAAAGAAAAAAGTTAAATTAAAGTTAAATATATTATATTATATATATTATAGTTAAATATTAAAGACTACAATTATATTTTTGTATTACTTGAAGAATAAAAGCAAAAAAAGTACACTTACTAAAAAATACTGACTTTATTTTTATTTTGCCCACTCAAACAATTCACACATTACTGGCTGGTTAGTTTTTGTCCTCTACTGATACTGTATGCTAAAAAGGCAATAATGATCCATCATTCCTGACCATTATCCCCAATAAAGCCTAGAAAACAGGGCATCAGTATAAACTGATAAGTTGAAATATTCTTTTCCAGTTATCAAATAAGTAATTGGTTTCTTAACTATAGTTTTTTAACAATTAACAAGTTTTAAATCCAAAACTGTAAAAAACACATCAGTGTAAAACCTATAAATAGTGGAAACTCTGTAATTGTGTACCTCGGTCACTTTAAAAATTACCTCTTTTGGTTTAACAAACTTATCCCTCAGTTTTTTCCAAACTTTTTAACAAAAACTTTTTCACAGCTGTTGCAATTTCTAGCCAAGAATTATTTATATATGTCACCCCTATGATCACGCATGGACGGATCATAAAGATATCTGTACAGACATACCCATTTCAGACAAAATCTCTTCAAAGTGATTCATATTCAACTTAAATGAAATGTGGCGTCATGTGAACTTTTCGCTCGAGTCTCAAAGAATGTTGTGTGCTCCGCCAGTGGAAATCCTGTCACGTGCACCCAAAGCGAACCTCCACAAACAGAGCGATGACGTCACATTCGTAGAGCAATTACAGTAAGCTTATTGGATATTGCAACATTGGTCTCATTTGTAGTTGTAATACCGCAAATTAAATTTGGACTAGTGAAATAAAGAAACAACAACACCAGGAAAACCAAGCAACAACAACAAAAAATTATTTAAATGAGCATTAGATGTAGCGTTACATGAACATGGGAAAAATAAAGACCTGTGCAAAAATATTTAAGACCTAGAACAGCGAATTTAAGACTTATTAAGGCCTTAAATTTAGTTTTTTTTAATTTTAGACTTCTTAAGACCCTGCGGAAACCCTGTGTCACTGCATTAAATTGCTTACTGTTTATTTATTTGCATTTCAACTTTGTAATCTAAAAAATCATGGGTCTCCTCACATTTTGTATTGGCTTTCTTTTTATCTTGATCTGGTGACAAAAGCCCCTCTTTTTCCCCTGCTCTGCTCACAACAGCTCCACGCTAGGGCTGCACAATTAATCGTAAAAAGATCGCGATCTCGATTCGACTCCCTAGACGATCTTAATCCAGCATTTCTACGATTCTGTCAATCATATTTTCAAGTTCAGGAGAGAAGCAATGGTGGCCGCACAAGTCTTCACATTGTTTTATACTGTATACGTTGTTCAGCAACGTGGACACCTCCAAATGGTGTTGAAGAAGTCACATGCTGTATTTATAAGATATAATTCACCTCAAAAGTGTAATTTCTGTCTTCATGTGATGTATTTACGACTGCAAAATCATGAATGAAGTTTACATTAGTGAACAGAACCTGCATAGGCTATTACAGGTAATAATGTTGTAAATAACATTCAGTTTGTGGCACAGAGTGATCGTAAGGGAGCCCACGGGAAGAGAACCGCTCTTAGTAGTGAAAATGAAACCGAAAGGGCACACTGTGTTGCCAGATGTAGCTGACTGACTCCAAAACCATGGACCAAAACCCGCTGAAATGCAAAAATACCAACCCAGTCTTCTGTATTCACGAAAATCACGTCAGTGACAGATTTTAAGCAGGAAAATTACAGATTGTAAGCACATGTCTCAAACACAATACTTCAACATCTGAATTATCATCAGCATTAATGCCCAGGACAAATCTGAAGTCTGTTCATGTCCACCATTCCAAGTCTATACAAAATTAAAAAGCCTATTGCTGTTTTACCATATGTTTGAGAATAACAATAATAAAAGCCCCCTCATAATCACCTTCATTTTAAATCTACAGAATCATGAGAAAATCGTGATCTTTATTTTAGGCAAAAAAATAAATAAATGTGATTCTCATTTTAGCCAGAATCGTGCAGCTCTACTCCATGCCCATCATGAAGCATTTTTTGAAAAAGTTCTAAGGTAGACTTGAACTAAAAAAGGGGGTTTCGTGACCCTTTAATGATTTTATTTTCATACTTTGTTAATGATTAATTATTCAAATGAAAAAAACTAAAGCAATGTGAGACATCAAACAAATGAAAAGTTACATAATCCTCATGAAGTGCTATTATCTCACTATTTTTTCTCACTTTCTATTTTTTAAAACAATCTGCAGCTTTGTATTTGGAGTTTGTAAGTCTGTACCTGACTGGTGCTCCACTTGCCCTCATCAAATACGTCTCCTAAAATGAAGACAACTTCTGGGTTTAGAAGCCACATGGATGTCTGAAACGCTCTTTCCATTTGCCATTCTCTGTTAAAAAAAAAAACAATAACACAATAATTATGTGCAGAATTTACAATTGTAATTTTAAAATTGTAATTAAACTGTATAAGTGATTCATTCATTCATTTCCTTTTTGACTATAAATCTATATATTTTTCCAGCAACTAAGATGGTGCCCCCATCTGGAGTTCAAGCCGGCCCTACGCAACATGCATACTTTTTTGGCAATACAAATCAGCACCTCCAGAAAGCTGGTCAGCAAAGGGAAGCAAGAGAATGTCAGAGGCATCTTACAGAAGTGTCAAGCTTTAAATAGGGAAATGATCTAGCATGAAGGTCGCTGGTTCAAGCCTTGGCTGGATCAGTTAGCATTTCTGTGTAGAGTCTACATGTTCACCCCGTGGTTCATCTTCGGTGCTCCGGTTTTTGGGTATGAAATTGTCCATAGTGTATGTGTGTGAATGAGAGTGTATGGGTGTTTCCTAGTGATGGGTTGCAGCTGGAAGAGCATCCGCTGCATGAAACATGTTGGATAAGTTGGCGGTTCATTCCACGGTGGCAACTCTTGATTAATAAAGGAACTAAGCTGAAAAAAAAATGTATGAATGAATATTAGCAAGATGCTTATGGTCCGATCCGATTTAATGATTTATGTCAACTAAGCTAAACATGTTTCACCAGATTCGGAGATTGGATGAATGGATTCAAAAACTGTGGACTAGTGGATTTGTAAAATGAGGCTATTTCCAAAAACAAATTAAAAATCCTTTGGTTTTTGTTTAGTTCACGATTGATTATTGTAATGTTTTTTTTTATTATTATTAGTTTATTTAATTTATTTAGACACCAAATAAGAATGCTTTGGGGAAATTATCTAGGTTATTTTTGATAACAAAAACATTGCCAGATAATTTTAGGGAGTTTATTATAATTTTAAACAACTTAAAGAAAAAAAAATATGGGTTTACCTAACTTCCTAAATAACCAACAGAATGTTTTGGGAAGCAACTCATGCTGCGTCCCAATCCTCATACTATCCATCCTAAATAGTATTTGAAAATAGAATTACTATGTCCCAAACCAGTATGTTGAAAAGAGTATGACAGGTTCCCGGATGGTTTGCTATTTCTTCCGATAAGAAATTTAAGTGTAGAAGCGTCCATAATCTAACCGCTGGACGTGAATTCAATTAGAACTACAAACGCGTTTGAAAAGTGTAAATAGACTACAAACATGGACGCGCGAGACCAACCGTCAAGTACAGAGAGGCTTCGGTAAAGATGTTTGAATTAATGTTAGTCAATATCTAGCCCACTGGAAAACATTTAAATCGTATTATCTGTGTTATATTTCATCTGCAACAACAATACTGAACTTATATAAAGATGCGTTTGGACGTCTGAACGTCTAAATGCATTATCCAAAGACCTGAGGAGATTTCTCTGCATGTGCATGAAAGACTCATGAATGGGAAATTAACTTGCTGCTGCTTCTCTAATAAGGTAGAAAATTAAATACCACAGAAATGTGGATGGTAAGTGGATGATTGACAGGGGGCATAAGCAACACAACGATGTTAAAGAGGAAGTAATATGTCCCAATTTTGCATACTCAAAAGTATAAACTTTTCCTTCACAAAAAAAGTACATACTTTTAGGGCGTAGTATAAATATGCGAATTGGGACCCAGCATTAACATTCTGGAAACCAACAATGTTAAATGGGAAAATGTGATGATAATAAATAAGACGTGATGCATTCGATAGAGAAGCCTTTTATTTTTGAACAAACGAACATTGTTCACATCGATGTACTTAAAGCATGTCTGAAATAAGAAGTAAACGTTTACAGTGTTACGTTTATCTATGTCCATAATCATATTTTAAGATTCTGAAAAACCAGATTAATTAATACCTTCTGAGTTTGTCGAGCCAGTGTCCTCTGATGGCCCCCAATAAGTGAGTATCAGAGAGAAATAAAGCCCGCAAAGGTGAATGCGAATCTTCAATCTCAAGGAGAGGCCATGAGCAACGCAGAATAACAAGATAATAAATCACATATTCACAAAACACAAATACACTAACAAAAGCGAAAATCAGTGTCACAGCTAATCTACTGCTCGATCCAAACACTAAAGTCATTACGCGCAAACGATCTTCACTGCGAAAGAACGATAAACGCAAGTAAACATGTTAGAAGTGAGTAAAAAGAATTGTACTCAACTACCTAGTCAAACAGCCACATCGTTCAACATAAATACTAGTGATGACTGAATTTGGAGCAGCCTCTTCTTCTTGTTGTTTTACTGGCGGTTCGCAGTCTCAAATAGATCATCACTGCCATCTACAGCGAGTAATGAATCGCAGACCATCAAGCATAGGCATAATGCAATGTATTTCCTTTATATGAAATATGTGCAATTTTAGTACAAACATACACATCTCACAACATAAATTGTAAAAAATAAAATAAATTAACAGTATACAATCAAAGGAAATCTAGGGGTAAAAATAAACAAATAAATAAATGTCATTTATAATAATGTAAACATTTAATTAGCCAAATTATAATACATTATTCATTCATTGAATTTCTTTTCGTCTTAGTCTCTTTTTTTTTTATCCAGCACATTTTTACGCAGTGGATGCCCTTCCAGTCGCAACCCATCTTTGGGAAACACCCACACACACTCATTCACACTCATACACTATAAACTTACCCAATTCACCTGTGCCGCATGTCTTTGGTCTGTAGTGGAAACCAAAGCACCTGGAGGAAAACCCACGCGAATGCAGGGAAAACATGCAAACTCCACAGAGAAATGCCAAACTGACCCAGCCAAGGCTCGAACCAGCCACCTTCTTGCTGTGAGGCGACAGCACTACCTACTGCGCCACTGCATCACCCTAAAACATGATAATTTATCCTCTTTTTTTTTAGCTTTTCTGTTTCTAATGTTATATAGCAAAAAACCATACTATAACCTCTTTTATAATATGTTTACAGAATATAATTAATGTATTACATGTATATTATATCTAAAATCTTAAAATAATATAAGAGCCCAGTGTTTTCTTTGTGGATTGAATGAATTCATTGACATAGGCAATCCCTGATAGCATTCGAATGTGGGGTGGGGGGGTGGGGGTGGGTGGGTAGGGGGCATAGATTTGGCACTTATGTTTTTTTTTTTTTTGTAACTTGCAATTTTTTTGTTTAGGGTATATATTTTCACATCCTCATTCCAATGTCTTTAAAAGAATACCTGCGTACTATTATAATGTCTTACTGACATTATATAATGGATTGAATAAATTGGTCTTAAATGACAATAATATTGTTTATTGCAATACATTTTAGTTCAGTATATCACACAACCAATTTAGATATTGCGACAGGGCTATAGAGTCACTGATTACTTCATTTCTCTTACTTAAGTAACTTTTAATGCTATTACTTTTATCTGAGTAATTATATGTAATTTTACTTTCATCCATTCATTCATTTTCTTTTAGCTTAGTCTCTGATTTATCACAGTTCGCCACAGCGGAATGAACCTCCAACTATTCCAGCATATGTTTTATGCAGCGGATGCCCTTTCAGCCACAACCCAGTAATGAGAGTAATTTTACTGGTACTTGAGAAAAGTTTTTGGCTAGTTTATTGACCTCTGGTTGCCTGTTTACAGTTAATTTTAAGATAAAACACATTATGATTCATATTTGAGATGCAGTGATTAGAGACAATCTTCTCATATAAAGGTTTATTCAATCGTCTACATCAGTGGTTCTCAAACTTTTTTCATCACGTACCACCTTAAAAAAAATTGTCTCTCCAAGTACCACCAAAATGAGCAGCATTGAAATACAGTAGTGTAGTAGGCCCAGTAAAGCAGCTACAACTCTGCACAGTTAAAAAACCTGGCAGATTACCTCCGAAATATAGCCTATATTTAATATATGGCATATTATATACATCATTTTTAATAAATTTTGAATTATATGTAGCATGTACATGACATATTTCATTCCTCCGTGTACCACTAGAAGGAAGCCCGCATACCACTAGTGGTACACGTACCACAGTTTGAGAACCACTGGTCTACATGATCACTCTCTCTCTCTCCTCCCTCAGTGAACATGCTTACATCATAATTGGAATCAGGAGAACCTGGTTATTGAAATAGTACACTGAATGGTTTGTGTCAGGGATTTTTCCAGTCTATGGGCAAAACTAAAATGGTGGATGGTTTATCTCCAAGTCTTGTTTAGTCTCTCATTTTATAAGAAATATATTTAATATAAATATGTATTAACACATATATAGTGATATATTCATATAATCTTTGAAGCCTGAAATAAGGTAAGTGTTTTGCAAACTGAATTTATTTTACTGTGGATAGAATACTACTGTGGCAAAGTTGGTATCACGTTAATAACTACACACTATGAATCATTTATTAAGCATTATCAAATAGTGAATTCATTATCTGTTAAGCATTAACTCTACATTAATACATGTTAGTAAGCAGTTTCTTAATACAGCAACAAATGCTGTATTCTTGACCTAAAAGCACATGTAAAATGTGCTTAATGTTTGTATGTGAATAATTTAATTTTCATTACTAAAAGTATGTTTAGTATTTTTTATTAAGTATGTTTTATTATGATCATCCAGAATGTGTAAGTAAATGATTAATAAACTTTAAAATTATCAGTCATATAGTCATAGTTTCTTTGTATGTTATTAAGTTCTTTATTAACTCAACTTTATGACCTAATCTAAAGTGAGAACTATGCTTAAATCCCTTATAAATGATGGTTCAAGGCTGTTATATTCTAAACAGGAAAAAAATAAATAAATGACTTTATTCATTTTAAGATACACAAATGAAACTGTATCAAATAAAAATAAATCTTTGCAATCTTATCTAAATATAAAACTACTGTACAGTTTAAACAGCTAAATCATATTGTATTGTTAAATTATTATATTGTTGTTGTTTTATTCTATTTATGCTGTATTTTGACTCTCCTGTTATTCGGCAATGTTTAAACTTTACAGTAACTTTATATTTTAGACAAAAATGCAAAGATTTATTGTTTATTTGATACTGAGCCTTTAATTGTCATTTTTAAAGGATTTACAAAGCTTAACTAGTCCTCACTTTAGATTAAAACTGGATGAAGTTGAGTTAATAAAGCATTTATTAACAAACAAAATAGCTATTAATATATACAGTTAACTTCAGAATTATTAGCCCCCCTTTGATTTTCTTTTCCTTTTTTTTATTTTCCCAAATGATGTTTAATAGAGCAAGGAATTTTTCACAGTATGTCTGATTATATTTCTTCTTCTAGAGAAAGTCTTATTTGTTTTATTTTATCTAGAATAAAAGCAGTTATTAATTTTTTAAACACCATTTTAAGAACAAAATTATTAGCCTCTTTAAGCTTTTTTTGTCGATAGTCTACAGAACAAACCATCTTTATACAATAACTTGCCTAATTACCCTAACCTGCCTAGTAATATTATTAACCTAGTTAAGCCTTTAAATGTCACTTTAAGCTGTATAGAAGTGTCTTGAAAAAATATATTTTTTAGTCAAATATTATTTACTGTCATCATGACAAAGATCAAATAAATCAGTTTATAAATGAGTTATTAAAACTATTATGTTTAGAAATGTGCTGAAAAAATGTTCTCTCTGTTAAATGGAAAATGGGAAAAAAATAAACACTAATAATTCAGTGGGGCTAATAATTCTGACTTCAACTGTACCTGACTAATAAAATAAATAAATGCTAATTAGAATAGTTTATTAATCATTTACTTACATTCGGAATAATATTAAAAATAAACACCAACTATTCTTAAATAGCTGCTTTGTAAATAATGCATTACTTATTTTAGATATGAAAAGTCAGTCATTAACAAACTATAAAAAATACAATCAGTGAGCACATTGTGTGCTTGTGAGTCAAGAATACAGCAGTTTTAGCTGTATTAATAAACTGCCTACTAATGTCTATTAATGTGGAGTTATGAATTCAAATAACAAATAATGAACTCACTACTTGCTAATGCTTAATAAATGATGCATAGTGTATAAATGTGTTAACTTCAATTCTAATTATATTTCTACTGCATGATCTTACTGTAACATCATAAGACATAGACTTGAAGAAGCATGAGTAAAGTACATTTTTGCAGAGATTCAATTATAGTAGTGTGTATAGGAACAAATAATTTGGTTGTTTTAGAACACACTGATCTAATTATTTTTTATTTTTGTCTCTATCAGGAAATTTATGTCTCTCCTCCAGATGCTGTGTTCTACTCATGAGGCAATCTATCTGTCCTCCTATTACACATTAATGTAGAATGTTAGGTGCGAGAAAAGAAGGCATTGTTTTTAGGATGATTTTAGGTGGGAATTTGTGATAAGATGCATATTAGACACACAAGTATCTCTTACTAATTTTTGCTTCACTTGTATATATTCTTTAGGATCTGTTATGCTGTTTTTTCTCATGGATGTAACAGCAGAATTTGGGACCACCCCAAATATTAAACAGATTGCCATTGAACGGTGCCATCGATATGTAACCCTGGTTAATCCCAACCCCAAGTAAGATTTAAAATATTTTGCACACAAATATCCGTGAATTTTTACCTACTTAAAATCTCTGAACAGGATTGGACAATAGATCGTTATTTTATTTTATGTATTTGGTCTTTAGTTTAAATTCATAAATATTTGTGGTATTAGCCTGAAGAAACTTCAGATCTGCACTTACAGTTGAAACTGTTTTTTTTTTTTTTTAGGATTATCAAATTCGTTTCTGTTATGCTTAATAGCAGAATATCGAGAGATGTTTTTGAGAAATTGTAATAACTTTTCTTGAAAGTCAAGTTTTCGTACAATAAGATTATTATGCTACTGAAAAAGCTCAAATGATGATGTCAAGGTTTTGGAAGTTTCTGATTGGCTAATTGACAACATTTGACTTAATGTGAGGCACAACTGTAAAATAGTATTGAAGTATAGTATTGACACTGCTTCCTTGTGTGACAACATGGGAAAATCAACAAGCCAGAATCAACAAAAAAGGCAGATTACAATTTGCTAAATAACACTGTGAAAAAGAATAATTTTTGGAAACATGTCCTGTGGTCTGATGGAACTAAGGCCCCGTTTACACTAATGCGTTTTTGTTTTAAAATGTATAAGTTTTGCTACAGATGGGCCATCCGTCCACACTACGCTGGAGTTCTCAAGCGCCGAAAACAGAACGTTTCGAAAATGCTGGAGAGGCCGTTTACATTATAAAACGCTGCTGCTCCGTCTCAGTGTGGATGGGGGAAAATGGGGACATCTGAAAATGGAGGCAGGGCTGCAGACATTCGTCTATCTGATTGGGGCTTATGCTCAATATTAAGTAGCTTACACACACAGTTCAGTCTCGCATCCTCTCCTTGTAAGTTCGGACTTTGCAAGTTTGATATGAAAACAGACTCTCGAGGACATGTTGGGTAAATCTTCAAAGGGAACAGTGTACTTTATAACTTCATTCACATCACCCTGGATACGTTGTTTAACTTTCTCAACACTAAAATGAAACCACGATTTAAGAAACTGCCTATTTTTATTTTGATATTAACAACTTAACAGACAGCAGAAATGCTGAGGCGTCATGCTGCATCTTCACTGTATGCATGTTTATAATAAAACAGAGCCTATAACATCACTGCCTCCTTTCATTTTCATTGAAAATACGAAACGTATCCGTTGCTTTGCTGAATGTCAGTTTTAATAATCAATAATAGCCATTATGAAAGTTTAACGCACAATAAGTTTATACATTATAGGAAATAAAGGCAAGCGATCAGTCAATATACAGAATGTACGTGGTTCCATTAATTATTAACTTATCTTTGCGCTCAGCCAAAACATGTTACCTGAGAAAAAGTAATAGATTCAAAAGACCAAAGTCGGGGAACATGTCGTTAAGACAACAAGATAAATTGAATATCACGTTTAGCAAATATAGTGAGATTAGATCCAGCAGGAGATGCTTAATGAGCAGTCCGACCAGCACAGTTCTCATCTGGGTAGAAATGCTGCAGCGCATGCCAGAGTGTGTGTGGTCATGAGATGTGCGTTTCAGTTTGGTGTGGACGGAGAAGTTCAGAAATGCTAGGTGATACGCTAGTGTGGACGCGGATCGTTTTCATTCTAAAACGCTGTATTAAAACTAAAACGCACTAGTGTAAACGGGGCCTAAGATTGAACTGTTTGGCCGTAATGACCAGTGTTACACTTGGAGGACAAAAAGAAAAGCTTACAAGCCTAGGAACACCATCCCAGCTGTGAAGTATGGGGGCTTCAGCTTCATGTTATGAGGCTGTTTTGTTGCGGGAGGGACTGATCCACTTCACAGCATATGGCATCGTGAAGAAAAAACATTATGTAGAAATACTGAGGCAACATTTTAAGACATCAGCCAGGATATTAAAACTTGGCCACAAATGGGTCTTCCAAACGGACCATGACCCTAAGCATACTGCCAAACTAGGTCAAATGTGCTTTAAGGACAACAGAGTGAATGTTTTGAAGTGGCCATCACAAAGCCCTGATCTCAATCCTCAAAATTTTAGTTGAAAAAGTTTTTGCGAGCAAGACAGCCTACAAATCTGACTCAGTTACCAAAGAAATGTATGTAAACTTTTGACTGTATAAAAAAAAGAAATAAAAAATTCTCAAAAAAAAAATTCTCTCATTATTCTGGCATTTAGCAAATGTAAATCATTTAGGTAATCCTAACGGACCTAAAACAGTAAACATTTAGTATAATTTACCATCAGACTTTTTTTTTTTAAATGGTTATGTTCCTTTGTTTAGACTGTATGTAAATTTCTGGTTTCAACTGTACATTACTGTCACTTTCATTACCTAATATTACATTGATTCCTTGAAAAATAGTAATAATTGGTTTTATTGTTGCTGCAATATTCATCCTAACAGGTATACTTGTGAGGCTGTATGGCAGGAGTTCGAAAAGGCTGTGTTTAGAAGATCACCCTGCAATGTTCAAGTTAAAGATTACAAAAAAATGTTCCAGGCCATCCCTCAGATTTTACCATGTGACAAGGTGATTTCATGCATGTTTTTTTCACAACGTCGACAAAAGTAGAGTAAAATTTTTTTTTTCCATATTCATTAACTTTTGCTATATGCAAACCCACTGCCACATGCTGTAATAGATCACATACCAAAGTTAGACTATTAAATTTTGAGAAATATCCATATAGTTGATGAGGTAATGTGATTCCCCTGTATTTAGACCTCCAATTTAAAGCAGTTTACAGTAAAATAAATACAAATATATATATATATATATATATTTTTTTTTTTTTGACTGTATATATATATATATATATATATATATATATATATATATATATATATATATATATATATAATTATTTATTTATTTACTGTGGATAAGACATTATACAGGCAATCAGATCTCCCTCTCTCTCACTGTATATGTATATAATAACGAGCCATGGTAAACAATCCCTGTCTTCGTCTTGATGAACACAAAGCCAAGAAGAAGAGCAGAATCAACCCTATGCCCCCTTGTTGTCTACAATGCCATCTAAAGTGTGAGCGATTTCACTTTCTCGACAGAGCTCATGTGCACGTCTGTATTTGAAATGACGAAATTCTTGAGCTGATGATAACGTGCGCGTGATTTATGAAGCGCTTCTTACATCCGATCCTTTCAGAAACCGATAAACATGAGAGTGATAAAACAAGGAGAACAAGGAGAGACCCCAAAAAACAAAGGCGCAAATAATTTTTTTATCAACCTAAAGCATGAACAAACTGACATGTTTAACTATTATCATCTTCTTTTAGACTATTATCAACTTGGAATGGTGGAATTACGTTCTAACAAGAGGTTACATGTGCTGAAGATTAAAGATACAGTTAAAAGGTTACTGTGGGCTATATGTTGTGTGTTGTTTTTGAACCTAAATAAGGACTAAATGTAAGCTGTGTGTTGTTTTGCTGTAATTGGTAACTTATCAGAGACTATAAGGGTCTTTATGTGTTCATATATGTTGCATTTATATATTTATTTTATATAATCGCTGACATTACAGTAGGCTAATTCGCACATCATTGATGTGCAGTTATAATTAAATCATGTTCATAGAAAGGTTAGTAACGAACATTTATACACAAGTATTTATTACCAGTATTTATTTATCACAAGTAAGTATTTATTTTATTTAACAACACCCATTCTTAAAGGCTTACTTTTAGTAATTATTCGGGTAGCACTCATATTCTGAATGCCTTCAGCAGAATTTAAATGAGCCATTTGAATCTAGATTAATTTCAAGATTACAGTGAGATTAGTCTAGATTAAAAGATAATCTTTGCCCACCTATAATTTAAACCAAACTTAATGTGCGTGATCCAGACCCTATCAATTGAAACCATACAAATTTGATCAAATGAGTTTAGAATAGTTTTGTCTATAGTCATGAGACTGGTCTTTCAGACCTAATGGATATGACTTCCTATCCCCAATTGACATGACTTCCTGTCCACCATCTTGAATTAGTTTGAAAAATTGTTGTATGGAACTCTCCGTAGATCATTAATCCCAATTACCACCAAATTTGGCTCAGACCATGCTGCCAAAAAGTAATAGAATTTTCCAGTTGCTTTGTAGCTTGTTGCCGTGTGGCCGCCGGGCTGCTGACCCCGATAATTGCTGCTTGCAGCTACATTTCAAAATATTTCTTTATAATATATAATACTTTATAATAAAATAATACTTTTCCTGTTTTTTTATATGGTATTGATATTATTATGTTTAATTTAGGTTTTATATCAAAAACAACATTTTGATATTGTGACACTATTTGCAACAAATTAAATGATTACAAATTGTTTTTTGACTGGTGAATAAAAAAAAATGTGTGCTTGTTTGCTATGTTTGATTATTTTGATTCATTTTAAAGCTGCTCTTCTGGAGTAAGACAAGAGGCTTCTTGGAAAGGTATGCAGCAATCACAGAGCCCTTCTGGACATTAGAAGACACACTGGTGGGATTTGTGTTCAATGATCTGATCTGGTGTCGACAGCTGGCAGAAGATAGAGGTACAACACAATGATTTCGGTTTTAGAAAAATATAAAGCACTTGCAATAAAAGACAGAAAATAGATGGTGCTTTTTTTCTAAAACACAATTAATGCTGCTTTTTTATTCCTAACAGTTTTTTGTTTGTTTGTTTGTTTGTTTTCGTAAAAGGTTTTGACTATCAGTCATGTCCAAAATGGTCAGCCTGTTTGAACCATCCTGTGTACTCGCTATGGAAGCAAGCTTCTCAAAATGTAAGTCTTGTCTATTTAATGCACAAACACAGACACATACACATGCATCATTTATATATGGGACATAAATGTAACTTGTTAAAGAGCCCCTATTATGCATTATAAAAGGTCGTGTTTTGGTGCGGGTCTTCAGCAACAGACTAATATGCATGCAAGGTCAAAAAACTATTTTATTGTCATATAATATGGATTTATTTGTGCATAATTCAGTGTTCAGTAATTTTTTTTTTTCCAAACGCCTCCTTTGCATGATGCTAATCTTTGGTGATTGGTCTGATGACCCAGTCTGTTGTAATAGGCCAACTGCATTCAGCATGAGATGAGGACCACCATGTTTTAGACTCACTATGAAGAGCTATGAATAGCCCTATGAAGAGTTAACCAGAGAGAATCAGTACTAGCCGTGCATAGTGATTACAAGATACAAAACAAAATTAAATACATATATTGCAGAGCCACAGAAATGATTTATTAAATAAATAATTAAATAAATTACATGAATGTTGGGGGAATAAGAAAATGCTAAAATGAAGTTTGACTTTTTTTGATTTGCGCATTTATTTATTATTTATTTATTTATGCTTTTATTTATTATGAATATGCTCATTGTATACACACACACACACACACACACACACACACGTATATATATATATATATATATATATATATATATATAAACAGTTGAAGTCAGAATTATTAGCCCCCCTGACTTATTAGCGCCCCTGTTTATTTTTTAGGGAAGATTGTTTCAGCACATTTCTAAGCATAATAGTTTTAGAAACCTATTTCTAATAACTGATTTATTTCATCTTTGTCATGATGACAGTAAATAATATTTGACTAGATATTTTTCAATACACTTCTGTACAGCTTAAAGTGACATATAAAGGCTTAACTAGGTTAATAAGGTGAACTAGGCTGGTTAGGGTAATTAGGCAAGTTATTGTATAACGATGGTTTGTTCTGTAGACTAACGAAAAAATTAATTAGCTTAAAGGAGCTAATAATTTTGTCCCAAAATTATATTTTAAAAAATTAAAAACTGCTTTTACTCTATCCAAAATAAAACAAATAAGACTTTTTCCAGAAGAAAAAATATTATCAGACATACTGTGAAAATTTCCTTGCTCTGTTAAACATCATTTGGGAAATATTAAAAAAAGAGAAAAAAATCAAAAGGGGCTAATAATTCTGACTTCAACTGTATATATATATATATATATATATATATATATATATATATATATATACAATGAGAATTTAAATAAACATTTGCTTGGAAATGTCTTTACAGTTTGCCGTGGCAGCATGTGGAAATATTACAGTCTTGCTAAATGGATCAATTCATCATGCTTTCAACAAAAAAAGGTGTGTATGCTTATTTTGCATGCTATAATAGTAGATCATGAGCATGGTTTTGACTTAATAAATGAAAATTAATTTCACAGTTTAAAATCTGTAAAAATCTGTGTGTCAGAATATGTTATGTGGTTGATTCTGAAAGCATGTTAAATGAAAACTCTGGCTGTGTTCGAAATGCCATATTATCATATTACACTTACTGTTTCTGTAGTATCCATGCTGTGCATGGTATGCACATTTTTATGCATGGAATATCTAGAAGTCCTACTATATTTTCCAGAATCTGCTAAATATAACCTAAATCAGAACACAAGCTGCATTTGAATTACATACTACCATGCAATTAGTATTATATTGGTAGTGCATTGGAAAGTTGTGCTGGATCTCAACAAACATCTTTTAAGTTTAAAAAAAAAAAAAAAAAAGTGAGGTCTTCGAAGCTCTCAAGTTAAAGCAGTTTATTTATAAAGCAGAAATGGTTGATCGAGCTCTCTCCCTTCCAAAGTTCGAAACCCACAGTTTATATGCAGTTTCTTATCAACAGTTATCATGAGATATGATTTCACATCATTTCTCGGCTTCAGGATCAATGCGAAAACTTGTCTGTAACTGGGGTCTTAAAGGAATCAGTCGCATGCTCTTTACTCCTCCATGAACGCCATAGCAGCTGCTCAGGATACGGCCTGGTCCAGGATTATGAAATAATAAAAACAGACTAACATAAGCGCAGATGCCAATTAAAATTTTATGTATTTATTTATTTTTGAAAGCAACCTCACTGTTACAGCAATTTCACATGAATCTCTAATTTTCCAGTTTCCAGTAGTGGGGCTTTGCAGGCAGGTTTGTTGAAATATCTTAGAGATAATCTTCTGTATTATCTTATCTCTGTGTGGAGGATTGGCTGCTGTAAAACTCCTTTTGCAAACAAAAATCACACTGTATTATTACAATTAATGGCAAAGTAAAATGTAAAATGTTATTTTCTAATGATACACTACACCAGGGGTCACCAAACTTGCTCCTGGAGGGCCGGTGTCCTGCAGATTTTCGCTCCAACCCTAATCAAACACACCTGAACAAGCTAATCAAAGTCTTACTAGGTATACTTGAAACATCCAGGCAGGTGTGTTCAGGCAAGTTGGAGCTAAACCTTGCAGGGACACCGACCCTCCTGGGCAGAGATTGGTGACCCCTGCACTACACCAAAGAATAGAAATTACAGACTTTTACAAATAATTACAGCTGGTGAAAAAACTAACTTTCTAAAATTTTGGCCTTTACTACCTCATGAAACAATACTACAGTAATTTATAGAAAATACTTGTATTTTTGAACCATACTATAGTGAATTACTCTGTTAACAGAATTAATCTGGTGAATCTTTTGTTGCTATGGTAAAACAATTCACCACAGTTTACTGTAGTAAAATGAAAGTAGTATTTATTAATTTATCAATTCACATCCCACTGCCTCCTCAATTCTTTTTACAGGACATGTGAATATTTGATTAAAGGTATTTTAATGTATAAAGAAGAGCAGTTACAGAAATCAGGTAAGACAAAAACAGAATCCAAAAATAAAATGAGCGCGTGAACAAAGGGGTGAGAATGTGAAAAATCCAAAAATGTGGTAAAAATCAGACCAGGGCTTTTCTTTTTCTGGACGTCTTTTGTAAACCCTTGGTTGTGTTTACGAAAGTAAGCTGGCGGGGCTATCTTTAAAATTGGTTGGGTTAAGGGAAGGAGGAGTGTGGGTCAGTCGATTGGCTTGTCGCCCAGTCAATCATTTAGTCATTCAACCAGTCAACAGCAGCCTCTGGTGTGTTCACGAGAACAGCGTGGGTGTGAACGGTACTTGCGAGAGACACTTAAGATGTGAAAAAGTGCACACATACGGCCTCTCATGGATTCGCGAAAAACAAAAACTGCAAAAATACGTTCCTCCCCGGACGTGTTTCGCGGTCTCCAGAAACGTCCAGGAGACTACGTTTACAGAATGAGCTTGAGATAACCTAATCTTGATTAGATTTATGCACTCCCAGATACAAACAGCCAGTCTCCACACTGGAATACACGCAAGGATCTAATTGGCATGACGCAGCTTAAAAAATGTTATCAAACCGGAAAAACAAATTAGCTCGAAACAATGCAACAACAACCAGTTTTCACTTTTTTTTTTGTGAAATATATGTGTCCTAATAGTGTTTTCAGCAGCGTGGGACACATACATGACTGTCAACAGTTCAAAAAATCTGTCTTGGTGTTTTGTGACCCTTTAAACTTATCTGAGTATGTCACATAACCTGCTTTCTGGAATACCCCTAGACATTGAAGTATTTAGAACATTGTTTGGATTTTACCTCAAACAATGTGTGGTTAAAAATTGGGCGACAAGTAGGGTATGTACTAACATACAACATCTGATTTACTTGTTTATTACCTGCATACATGTTTATTCCTCAGCATGTTTGGCAGTGTAGAACTGGACAATCTAAATCCAAGGATGGTAACCCATGTTCACATTAAAGTCGTGTACAACCTGGAGGGACCCTTTATGTAAGAAAGAGTACATTTCTTTTTAACAGTCTAAAGTACTCACGAAGTAGTTAATGTACCAAACATTTTTTTCCCCCCTTTACAACATTAATTTTATTTGAAATTTGTCTAAATTTAATGAAGACCTTTTTTTAAATGTTTCATATTTTATCTGGCAATGTTTAACAACACTGTACATTGTGTAAATATGATTCAGTTGTATTTTTATATGACACACATCTGATATTCTTCTTTTTGTCTGTCTAGGGAATCGTGCACGCAGGGATCAATTATGGGACTTATAGAAGTTTTAAAACAACGAGGGTTTCACTGGACCTGCACAGACAGTGACTTTAATGTTTGAATTACTTTTTCAAAGTATTTGAATTGTTAAGACAAGCAGCTGTAACAGCAATAACCACATGAAAATGTTTAATTGTAATCATGGAGAAAGAACTAGCAAGTTGGCAGAGGCTTGATGTTATGTTTAAACTGGCTGAAGGTTCCAAAGTCAGGCTCAAATACTATAAAGTTTATGTAGTATTTTAGCATCTAGGTGAATAATCTTATCATTTCCCCCCTAGGTATTATTAGTTTTATTGGATTCACATGCGTCACATTCAGCTGTATATTTTTTGAATGGGTCTGTCTTTTAGTTCTTTGTGTGATGTTTACTCATTCTGAATTAAAATCCAGCAAACCAGAAGAAATAACTGGGCCCAGTTATTTCAGGAGTGAATAATGTTCCAAAATTGGCCCGAGTAAATCTGACTGAACTAAATCTGACTTGTGTAGTGATCAGCGGTAAAGTCAGGAACTTGTGGAAATTAATTTTCAATAAACAAATGCTCCAGTGTCACGAGATGGAGAATCACAAAACACAAAAATCCAGGTGCAGCTGTTAGCGTTACTATTGGATGTGCCCTCAGACTGTCATGTCATGTGTTACCTGCTTCCCATATTTGGACATATGCAAATAAATGTATTCCGGTTCAGCAGAAAACCGAGGAGAGACGTGAGTTATTTTACCTCCGTGTAATTAAGATTATATACCGGTTACCATACACGAAAATGGCTGCGCCAACAGCAGCAAATTATTGAAAAAAACAAAGGAGTTTCCTAATCTTGCAAAGGAACTTCAAGCAAGATACAAAAATCTAGAAATGAGTCCAGACAAAAGAACTGACAAAAATAATCCAAAAATTAGCAAATACAAAAACAGGGTAGGAATGCTAACAAAAACAATCAAGAATCCAAAAATCTGTAAATACTAAACTGGGTATAAATGCTAAAAAAAAACAAACAAGAATCCAAGAATAAGCCAATAAAAAACTAGATAACCAAACAAACATTCCAAACATAAGGGGCAAACAAAATCCTAAGGCAACTAAAACACAAGACATAAGGGTTTATAAAGACAGGGCTGAATTAACAAACAAGAGACAGCAGTAACAGAATACAATCAGAAGTGCAAAGGATTATAGGAAATGAAGTTAAACTACAAAACAAGCTAATACCCTCAAGTGTCCAAAAGAGGGCACTGCAACACGTGACATGCAGAGCATACTCTTCTTTAAAAGTCCAATATTTCTTTACTGCAGGAGGTACTTTTGTGACATGTTTGGGCCATCCAGATTTGATTACTGACATCAGTATTTGTAGTGCTTCGTCCCCTGCAGTAGCTTCCTTGACTTCTCTTTATTTCTCTTCTGAAATAGGCAGACATTCTGTCAGCTGATGCAGCTCTAGGTCTTTATCTAACACTTCTGTCTCTTCATCTAGATAGGCTCTGCTCAGTGTATCTGATATTTTCAGTTCCTTCCCAGGTTTGTTGTACACCTGTAGATCATATGGCTGGAGCTTCAACCACATCCTCTGCTGGCAAGTTTTCTGTAGAGGCTTTTTGAAGACTTTCTCTAATGACTTGTTGTCTGACTGCACCTTTATTGTCTTTCAATATAGGTACTGGCTGAATTTTTCACAACTATATACGATGGCTAACAGCTCTTTTTCTATCTGAGCTTACCTTTTCTGGCAGTCAGTTAAAGCTCTTGAACCATATGCCAGAGGATGTCCTTCTTGGAGGATGACTGCTCCCTGACCCTCTGAACTAGCATCAACAGAAAGAGTCACTTTCTTGTTGACGTCATAATATTTGAGAACTGGTGTGTCGCTCAGCTGTGCCTTTAGTTTCTTAAAACTCCCTTGCTGTTACTTATCCCGGTGCCACTACCCATCTCAGTTTCCAGAAGTTTGCTCAATGGCGCACTGGTCTCAGAGAGATTCGGAACAAATGTTTCGAGGTATCGAACCATTCCAAGAAACCTCAATAAAGAAGATTTGTCTTGTGGCTTGGGAATTTTCACAATGGTTTTAATCTTCTCCTGGTCTGGCTTCAAACCTTCTCCAGTTAGTACATGACCATTGTACGTTACTTCCTCCATCTGAATTAGTACTTTTCCTGAATCAGTTTCAGATTAATACTCACTGTTTCAAGAAGACTTCGCATTCTCACATCATGTTGTTTCACATTTTCTCCCCACACGAGTATATCATCCATGACATTCACCACTACATCCAGATCCTGAAGTCTTTAAACAATGCACTTCTGGAAGACTTCTGGAGCTGAAGATAGTCCAAAAGGTAACCTCTTGAAACGGAATCTTCCAGAAGGTGTATTGAACGTGCAAAGCTTTAAACTTTCTTTATCTATTTGTATTTGCCAAAACCCATGGTTTGCATCTAGTACTGAGATATTTATTTATTTATTTTTGGCATCTCGCTCACTACTTCTTCAGTTGTCTTGAGTGGAAAATGCTCTCTTCTATGGCTTTATTCAAGTCCTTTGGGTCATATCAGATGCAAATTTTGTTGGGCTTTACAGCAGTCACCATACTATTTACCCATTCTGTGGGTTCTGTCTGTTTCTCAATGACTCCCAAGAATTTCCATTCTCATTAGTTCTGACTTTATTTTTTCTTTTAATGCTATTGGCACTTTTCTGGGAGGATGGATCACAGGAGCCACACTTGGATCAATCTGGATGTGATGCACACCTGGTTTACACCCTAAACCATTAAACACATCGTCAAAGACTGCATTGTAGATTCTCTGAACAGGTTGTAAATCCATGCATGCAGATTTCCCCAGAATGGCAGGTAAGTCCTTCTCTCTATACCTTAAACTCAATCTCTGCTTCTTTGTCTTTAAACTGGCAGGTGTTTGATGGTATCTTTTTGCTCCATCTTGTGGCCAGAATATGCAAGCAACGTGCAGTTAGACTTGCTCAGTGATGGAGTTTCACCTACAATCACTTGAAAGTCTTTGTACGAGATGACATTGCCCTCTGCCCTTGTGTCCAATCTAAATGACAGTGCTTTTTTATGAACTGTTAACATTTCAGTCTATTTTTCAGCTACTTTGTTAATTTGCAGCTCTTGTCTGTTATCAGCCTGTCATCAGCTATCTTCAAGAGCACCCACAAACAGGTCTGTGTGATCCTCTTGTTCAATCTCATTCACTTTCTTCACAACAAACCCTTGGATTGGAGCTGTGGCGTGACACGGCGTGACGATGCCCAATGCAGCGTGGCTGTTCAGACACTGACACAAGGGGTCATGGTCTTTTAATGACAGCAGTAAATAACTGAAAAACTATTTAAACTGTACAATCGTTTGTAAATTATAAATTAACTTTAATTTTATATCTTTTTTTTATTTACAAACTGTGCAGCTTTTGTCACTGCAATGTCTTTTTGGGCTTCTGGAAGAACATTTCCTGAGCCTCTTGGTATGGAAAATCAGAAATGTCTGGCCCATTTATTAAGACATTTATCTAACATGTCTCTTATAAAAATTTTGATGTGAACATGTCATGGCCAGAAGCAGATTTACAGAAAATAATTCATCCATTCATTTTTCTTCAGCTTAGTGCCTTATTTATCAGGGGTCACCAAAGCAGAATGAACCGCCACAAAAAAAATGACAAACAATGCAGTTTGGAAACAATGCAAATGTTTCAATGATGATCACGGTATGATTTTGTGGAAAACACGCAGAGCTTTCGGGAGATGTCATTACTAGACAGTAGATCGCACCACAGCATAGGATGTGCGCGACGTATCTGAAGAGGGGGGAGGGATGCGGGACGTGTTTGAGGACGGGGCGGGAGATGTGCGATTTCCGGGAGATTATCATTCATTTGCTGGCATCCGGGTAGTCTCTATGCATTTGCGGGAGACTCCCGGAACTTTCGAGAGACTTGGGATGTCTGCATCTGTACATATTTTAGCTGCAGTGACGCAAGCGCAGAACAGAAATGACATGCTGTTGTGTTTACAAGATATTACATACAGCTATTTAACTTGTATATTAAAAAAAGTTGTGATCTGGCGCTAAATAGATAATAGGGTATATGCCGAGCAGTGCAGTTCCCATGCTGATACAGTTCCGGTGACCTGTTATTGTGAACTTTTTACCATTTTATACGGTTTCTTATACAGCATCGATGTTGTAATGTCATTAAAATACATTCTGTTAAATAAACTTTAGGATTTATTTAGTTGCTCAAGCGTAAAACGAGACAAAAAGCTGTTTACTCACACGCGCCCGTCAGAATCGGCAGGCTAACGCAGAAGCTCCATTGAATATTATGGGGTAAAATAAATGCTCATATTATAAAGATACGGCGGGGGAAATGTAATTTAATGCAGTGCTTATTGTACAATCTGAGACCCACTTTAAATCGGATATCACTCAGTTAGTGGAGATCGCTGATTTTTTAAAAAAACAGACCTTAAACGCACCGGATTTTGCATTGGCATTCAATTCGCCGGAAGCGCTTAACCCAGGTTACTGGCAAATTAAAAGTCCTATTAGCATGCTTCGGCATATACCACATACAAGTAATGTGACTTCAAGGGGGGCGGATACAGCCGTTGGGAGGGCGGGGCCACCCCCCTTAAATAATGGTAGGGGAAACACCCTGTGTTTCACACTTTGTGACACACTTTGCATGTTTGACCATACACTGGAAACTTCTTTGGCAAGCGGCTGTACCCACACCTATCCACTCTTCTTTTTTCAACACTGCACCTGAATAAGCACTTTTCTCTTTTGGCTCTTTTTGTAAATTGCATCTTTGCAATCTTGTTTATTGTTACTTCAGTTTCAGCTTTTATCTGGCTTTTAGTGACTTCACTCGCTCTACAGATAATAATGGCTTTGTTCAGATCTAGATACTGTTCTGCATTATACTGTAATTCTGTTGTTTTACACTCCTGGCCATATACCCTTAAGTGTAATTGTATTGTTTACAATATTTTTACTCATATTTTTTAATTATTTTATATGTGTAATTTCTTCAACTTTTTGTAATAATATTATACGTTAGGCACCTGGGGCATGAGAGTAACGCAGTTTAGATTCTCTGTATGTCCTGTACATGTGGTTGAATTGACAATAAAGCTGACTTTGACTTGACTTAGTCATGACAGAGGCTTGGGAGGACGAGCATTCATGTAGTAAAAATGAACTGAGGTGGCAAAGGCCGTTTGTGGTCACAACGAGTTGGGTATCTTGATTCGGAAGTGATCCTGAGCTGTTTCTATATCAGCAGTTTTCAATCCTGGTCCTGGGCACACAGACCCAGCACCCTGCATGTCATTGTTTTTCAACAAACGGCTACGTGGCGTAACAGCTGAGAGGCTAAACCAGAGACATGATTTGTGACGCAAACATTGTTAGGGATTTCATTGTGTCTTGATGAATTTCTGATGAATGTATTACTCTCATTTATATGCTTATTTGAGTGATTTCAGTATTATTATCTATTATAGTATTATCCATACCTGTGGCATTATTATCAGGTATATGTGCTTTGGTAAATAAAGTCATTCTGTGTAAATGCAGTCAGAGATGAGAAGATAAATTAGAAGAGCAGCATTAATGTCACAATGAGGGTTGATTTATGGAAGCAAAGCCATAAGGGCACCTGCGTTCTGTTCTGTAACTCATGATAAAGCACACCTGCACGTGTGCCCACACTCTTGTACTGACATCTAAAGAATTATGAGCACTTATGAACTTCAGCTGAACTTACAGTTGACAGTTCAGTGGACAGTGCCATAGCCATATCACCAGTGGACAGTGCCACAGCCATATCACCCTGCAGCCCAAGACCGGTTACTCACTGAAGCTAAGCAGGGCTGAGCCTGGTTAGTACCTGGATGGGAGACCACTAGGGAACACTAGGTTGCTGTTGGAAGTGGTGTTAGTGAGGCCAGCAGGGGGCGCTCAACCCGTGGTCTGTGTGAGTCCTAATGCCCCAGTAAAAGTGAAGGGGACACTATACTGTCAGTGAGCGCCGTCTTTCGGATGAGACGTTAAACCGAGGTCCTGACTCTCTGCGGTCATTAAAAATCCCATGGCACTTCTCGTGAAAGAGCAGGGGTGTAACCCCGGTGTCCTGGCCAAAGTCCCTCTATCGGCCCTTACGATCATGGCCTCCCAATCATCCCCTTCCACCGAATTGGCTCGATCACTGTCTCTCCACTCCACCTATAGCTGGTGTGTGGTGAGCGCACTGGCGCCGTTGTCCTGTGGCTGCCGTCGCATCATCCAAGTGGATGCTGCACACTGGTGGTAGTGTGGAGAGACCCCCCTCATGATTGTGAAGCGCTTTGGGTGTATGGCCATACACAATAAATGCGCTATATAAATACACATTACATTACATTTTTACATTACAGTGAACAAGATATATTGTTGAGCATTGTTTTTTGGCTGAGTCATCACTTTTGAAACAGGAAGGAAAGACCTTAACTGGACATGGGTAAGACCCCTGAAAGACCCTGAGATTTCATTGGTGGCGGGCACCTGAGAGATTTAAGACCCCATTAGCGGAGAAGCTGATGGAGGTGTGTAATGTGTGAATTTGGGTGGAGTATTAAGACACAGAAATGTATTTAAACTGTGTGCAAGCCTATGTTCAGCAGACACTCGAACGACCTGTCTCTGTTGTTACTAATGCAGTAACAATAAACTGCTTCGTCTAAAGACTTCGGAGATCTCAGACTTTGTCATTTTTTGGAAAGTTTGACTTAGAGACTTCGAATATTTTTGCCGACCAGAATCTTTTTTCCACAACAACATCAAATGTAAACAAGGCAAGAAGTCGTTCCAATGTCTTCACTCGTTTATTTTCCAATATAAAACATACCTTGATATTTTGACAGTGTAGAATTTGATTTGGGCTAAAGTTTGAGCTTAAGTTTGGTTTTGTTTGGTCAACAAAGAGTATCCCGATCACCCCCTCTCTCTCCTTCCTAAGTTGGGAATGAATAGGTGCCACCTATAAGCGCACTACGTAACCCCGGTGACCCTCCACCACAATCACGTGACAGGTTAACCATTTCATGTCTACTACACTGATTAATGAATTTAATAGTTTTCTTCAGCATACAACATGTAAAGAGCCATAACTAGACAGTAGATCGCACCACAGCATAGGATGTGCGCGACGTATCTGAAGAGGGGGGAGGGATGCAGGATGTATTTGAGGACTGGGCGGGAGACGTGCGATTTCCGGGAGATTATCATTCATTTGCTGGCATCCGGGTAGTCTCTATGCATTTGCGGGAGACTCCCGGAACTTTCGAG